GCGCGGTTCGACGCGAGCCTAGTCCACGTTCAGACTCCGCCGGCGCGGCTCGACGCGAGGCGCGACAGCGTTTACGACGACGACGACGACAACTTCGGAGTGTGCGACGCCGCCCTTCCATCCCCTCTCTTCATTTGCCTTGCAACTCTTTGGCTAATGGAGACTCTTCCTTTTCAACGTCTGTTTTCGTCTCAAGTCGATGGTCCTCCGGAAAACTAACGAACTTTTTCGCACGAACACAATGTATTGACCGCATCATATGCTTGCGGTGCTCGGGCTGTGGCTATTGATATTATGCTCCGCAGCCAGGTTCACATTATAGTCAAATTATCTCGCGTAGTTCATATAGTGTCTACGGCTTGGGGCGACTGAATTTTCCACTAGTGCAATGAAAGGCTTTTTGTCCGCACGGGCTAAATGTGTCACAGATGCTTTGTGTTATGACTCGCGGGGAGCAATACAGAAAGTCCTACGTGGTACGTGGGCAGTTGTCTAGCCGTGGGTTGGAAGGTCCCACTCCCTACAGAAATTAGGGAGTCGGCTGTTGATCGACCTCTCCCCGACTCACAGATGAGGTGGAACGCATTTTTGCGCGTCGCTAGCCGCTAGTGGAATAGCAGTCGCACGTGTAGGGTACCGTTGATGGTTTCGCGACTCGCAGAACGTGAGACTCACTTTTCGGCTGCTTTCTTGTGACCCCAGAAGGCGGAAGGCGACAAAGGACGTTGAGTTGTCTGAAAAGTTCGCTGATTTTTTCTGTCGGTGGATTGACACGCGGCCACAGAAATGACCGCGTGTCAATCCAACAACAGAAAAATAAGATGACCATGAGTAACTGAACCTGAGCAGTGACAGCGAATTCAGCCAGTGAGGGTATCGTTGCTAGAATTATTACTGTGACTCCAAAAGGCGACGTTCGCACCTCTGAGCCGATGAGGGATTCCAACGTGCCGATGAAGATTCCCGCAACTGAGGATAATGAGCCGATGTGGGATGCCAGCATGCCGATGAGGTGTTCCGGCATTATTCTGTGACGAGAGAAGGTGGGGGCTACGTGGTGATGCCGCGGTGAGCCTCGCACCAGGTGGCAGCTATTTACTGGGGATAAGTTCCGAGGAATGCGTGGTGTATGGCTGTGAGGTTCCGCTCATAACTGAGGGGGTCCGATCGCTGCACATAACCTGCACAGACTGTGTGTAACGATCACTCCATAGGCCTCTTTTTATTATGACCGGCGACAAACACGCATGAGATGGTGAGAATGTATGAATACTAGTTGCCGAATCCCAGTAAAGTGACGTTTACTGCCCATTTTAGGACGAAAGCATCTGTTTCGTAGAAGCTCTCGTAATGTCCGTGGGCCAATGTTTTCGCCACCGTTAGAAGTCGCCCCAGTTCGTCAGTTTTTGGCAGGGAATTGCCTCCATGTTAACTACCTGCTAATCAATACAGTGGGCCAATCAACCAACAGCCGCCATTAGCAATGATATGCATAATTATTCCTGGCAAATATGATTATTGCCGGTAGACATGTTACTCCCACGGGGCTCATCCCTTGTTTCCTTTCGCGAGCTTGATTATTAGTGAGTACAGCCACTACCTCTAGAAAAGTATCCATAACATGATGCATTACACAACGTCATGTGCGAGCACGTAACTTCAAAAAACATCCTGGAATTCTGAAGGACTATTGAGTCAGTCACGGCGTTTGTCGCTTTTATGAAAGCTGGGCTTTGGTAATCTTGTGATTGCCGTTTGGTGTCGGTGAAAATCCTATGGATGTTGTTGATGGTGCCGGTCACCTGAATGCTGTCCATGCCGCTGCGGCACCGCATGCGGAACATGTTGGGAAATGTAGGCGTGGCTCATCGTCACTCCCTCCAGTCGGCCCTTACTAGTGTCCAGAGTTGCTCGACTTCCGAGACGGTCATCCTCTTGCGTTTGCGGCAGTCTCCTTTGATGTGTCCCACTTGGCCGCAGTTCCGTCGGGGTCTCAACCGCGAGAGTGCTGAAGACGTCCTGGATCCTGGTGGTCTACCAGGGCCTGCCTCCGCGCGTAAAGACGCTTCCAGTTGTTCCAGTCGCTGCAGGATCTTTTGGGGAAACCCCTTGTCCTGAATGTCATGCTCATCCACCTGGCTTTGCCGACTGCGGTAACCGTCCTCGGAGAACGCACCAGAACACGCCTGGTTCGCTGCACGCCTGATGGATTCACACTCCAAGGGAGCGGCAAGCGCAAAGTGAACATCAATGGGCCTCACTTGCCTGTAGCAATCCGCATATTGACTTCCTTCAAGGCGTCGATACACTGGTCGCATGCAAATATCGCTCTGAAAGCTGCCTCCGCCGTGAGATGGGCGTAGTGGGCAAGCCGCTCGATATCCTGTGTCAGCATGGGTAGAAGCTCGCCATGCCCTCGGACCCTGGCTCTAAACTGAGCTCGAAACAGCTGATCTTGGTGCGCGGACCAAAGCACTGCTCTGAAGCTCCCGCGAGCGTCTGGCAACTCCTCTGGCTGTCGACTGGTAGATGGCCCAAGAGCTCGAGAGTTGCCCGTTCAGACTGGCCGACAGATACGCGGCTTTTTCAGCACCTTCCCACTGGTTGCTTTGACGCAATCACCTCAACGTGCTCCCGATAGCGGACCACGACACCGTGCCATCGAATTCCTGAGGCCTCACGCTCACCATTCACTCCGGCTGCGGCTCGGCTGAGGCGTGCTGCACAGCAGGAATGCCAACGGCTTCAGTGAGAATCTCCGCATTGGTCACAACCGATGAATCAGTTGCAGCTGGCAACCTGTCCTGGATGTCTTTCATCCAAACTAGCGTATCCTTTTCCATGGCCTCCAATTTTGCGATGAAGGTATCCAATTGGTCCTGCACGGTCTTCTTCAGATCCGCCATGTCTCCCGACAGGGCAGGTGCACTGCAATGCGCGGGTTCCGAAACCACCGTGCCAAACAGCAAGTGCTGAGCGGTGTACAAGAACAACAAAATAAGAGCAAACACAGATCCCAACCCTCTGACGCCAATGTTCTCCCAGACACCGCTCCAACTTACTCCATGCTATTCCTGGGACCGCTCCAACTCGCTTGCTCCAATCATACCGCTACAGGCACACTTTCATTCTAGTGTACCCAGCATCTCCCTAGGCAGCAACGCAGCGTATTGTCATTGATCCTCCAGTAGAACTTGGTGGGAGGACAGGATTGCGGCCCTCGGGGGGTGCCCCGAGGCGTCGGCGATAGATAAGGTAGCATACAAACCCTTTAGCCGTTTCCAGCGGCTCAAAGGGAGGACGGGGAGCATACAGAGCCCTTGCGTTGTCAGCCGGGAGCTATAACCCGACTGACTCCTCGTCCGCGCCCGTGCCCGACTTCGGCTCGGCCCCACCAAGGCCCGCCGCTGATTGGCCAGAGGTCGAGGCCACGACTGGCAATCTGTGCATGCTGGCTCATATTGTCATGGCTTAATTCGAAACTACTGCAGTTAAGCTGTGATATCAACCTGGATATCAACCCGACCCACCCGGTGCCCCTTCTTGGTCACAGGGGCGAGGGAGGTTGCCGAGAATGGGGGGGGGGGGGGGGCGGTACAGAGGTATTTGAGGCGTTTCTTTTCATGTGCTCCCGCAAGTCTGGCGCTGAATTGTTTCGGTTGTTGAGGAATGGACTCGGTCCCCCAACAACGCGATCGCTCCCTCGCCCATGTTTGGTCACATCGTCCCCGCCCCGGCGTCCTGGTTGCTTATGCCGGCGGCTGGTGGCCGGGGGCGTTTGGCCCGTTCAGGCACGCGGTTCGGGAAAGGCGGCTGCGTTCCCCAGCCAGGGAGGACGGCTCCTGGAAGTGTTTACGTTTGCACACTGGGTGGATCGGCGAGCGTGCGCTATGCGATATCATTTCCGTTTCGTGCATTGTGCTTTCGCGTGGCAGGATTCATTTCCATTGATTTCATGTGTTTGATACGATCGGTGCACTCGCAGAGCCGTGCCGTGTCGTGCAAGGTTCTGTGCCTCCAGTGATGGGCATGTGCAAAATCCCTCCAGTGATGTGCATCCCTCCTCAACCAGTGGCGTGCAAACTCCCTCCCTTAAAACTTCACTGAAATGAAGCTGGTTCCCGCCATTGCGCACAACGTCATATGAGGCTAATTATGTACAGGCAAGAAGTCTCCTTCCCCCAACCGTTCAGTGAGAACATCTTAGACGAGGCCCTGGACCTGCGGGGCTTCTATCGACAATACATTTGCGACATCTCATTGCCTATTTCTCCTAATGTGCTTGCAATATGCGAGCGCTGTGCTATTGGTGTTTTTCAGTTAACGTCACTTTTTGCGCGTTTTTCTGGCAGGATGAGGTCCGCTGTTGTAGATTTTGATGGCGGAGGGATGGGCATCAACTCCAGCCCTAGATTAGCTGGAGAAATGATCTGATGTTGAAATGCTGAACTGTTGCTGAGAACTGCGGCTGCTCTGCTCTGAAGGACTGCTTGGGGACTGCTCCTGGCCACCCGGAAGCGCTTTGTCTGACAGCAAGCTGGCATAGTAACCAGAGGCTTCCGACATAGACAACTAGTGCTGCTCTAGAATCATCATGCTTGGAAAAGCAGGCATTGTACCACAGCGGTTCGTGATGTGCAGCTGGCACTTCACGTATAATTCTGCCAAAATTTACATGGCAGCGGACCAAGGTGTACCCGATGACCAGGAGCAACTCGCCAGCATTCGTGTAACACAAAGTACCGCTAGTTGCTAGAGCGTTGATAGAGTGAATTGAATGATTTGTGGATACATATGATAGATTCAGCAACATAAGAAATGAAAAGTTAAGCTATCGACCAATACCTAAGGCCATAGAACGAAAATTTGACCTTTTTACCAATATTTTCTGGCTTTATTTTGGTCAACCGAGAGAAAGCTGTATCGGCGCAGATTACTGTTATATGGCGCAGATAAACTCGGGACGTGCTCATTGTTCTGTATTCATATTTTGGTGACTGCGAGGCGGGTGCGCCGGCCTCTGGTGCTTTGCGATCTGGACATAACAGGAAAAGAACTGGTTAACCACTGTTGCAGTGTTCTGGAGTGAACGTGGGGAGGTGTGCTGAAAGATGACTGGGTTTTCCAATGGGTATAATCCAACTTGGAGCAATTTAGGTGTTCAGGAATGCCAGACAGCAATACATTTCGCTGAGTATATATGTGTTGACACTTGCATTTACTTTGCAAGTAATGGCTTGCTTGGATCCATTGATGTATTTAGCTTGGCAATGTGCAATTATTAAGGTCTGTTGGGCACAAGTTTCATGCTCCTTTCCTTCCCTTCTGTGTCCTATCTAGAAATGAGTGCATGTGGCAAGTATATTTTTCTAACCAATCTGATTTAAGTTCATAATTAGAGTTGGAAGGTTATTGGGTGCAGTGAAAGTTGTCATATGAAATTATTCCCAGGTTGAGTGGGTAAATTCCGAAAGGAACATTAGAACACCAAGGAATTGTAAACACCCAAAATATGGGCATGCCTGCACATCATTGTTTGAAGCTATGTTGTGGAGTAGATTACTGCCATAATTAGTGGTACTTTCAAGCTCCTAGTATTTTATCACTTTTCATTGCCCAAATACATGTAAGGGCTTGCAAAGGCAGCACCAATTTTGGTACATAGAGGGCCGATGTTTTAAGGAAATTGTGATGGAAGTGTAGTTTCATGTTGGATGTCATGAAATTCACTTTCACAGAAAAAAAGCATTGTGACAAATCAGAGCAATTTGGTATGGAGTGAGTGTGGTGCTTAAGAGCATGAGGCTCAGCATACTGGCCTCACATGGGCATCTGGTGCAGGAGATGGATCTGTTTGCAGACTGGTTCCACTAAACCTATGGTAAGGTCAAAACTTTACAGAATTTTTACAGCACAAAGGAAGATTGCTGGTGATGTCACAAGGTGTAGAGCCCCCATAGCTTAATCATTCATGACTCTCCCATCCCACCCATGGCAAGGTGGGTGGATTCAAACTGCCTGAACACTAGATATAGCCCCTGATTAGGATGGCCTGCAGTTTATGGCAGTGGCTGCTCAAGGCTGGGTGAGGTCAGAAAGTGGTTAGCTAAGGTCACCATAACTATGAAAATCTTCTAAGCAGACCAATGATGGCATGCTTGTGAAGTTTTATCCATGGTAGCACATTGGGAGAAGCCATTTTACATTGGACTGCCAAGGTGCAAGAAAATTGCATATTTCTAGTTATGCTAGTTCCCAAACAGCATCACTAAATATCATGACATCACATGGCCTCTAATGGTAGAACTGCTAAGGTATGTTGTGAACTTGCAGGTGATGCTTGCATGGTTCACCTGGTATGTATGGTAGAACACTTGGCCCTATTTTCTTGTGATTGCTGTAATTGGTTTTCACATAGTACCTGGTGTCATGTCTAAGGAATTAGAAGTATCAGTATACATTGCAAACTATGTATCCAAGTGCCTCAGAGTTCCCACCTCTGTTTCTCCAAGTCACCTATCTCCTTCCTCCTCATCAGTGCATACAGCAAGTATTGTAGGCTTGCTTCTCACTGCAGGTAGCACTGTTACATTCTCATGTGTAAAGTAGGAAATTTTTTGGTGGAATTTCAGTAGCACATTTCACACAGTTAGATGTCCCACATATTTACACTGCAAGATATAACATAAAATGACCAATAAATCATGTGAGCTGCACAATGAGATCATCAGCCTGCTAGCACATGACATATCCAGGGAACAAAGTGATGTTTACCATATCACTTTGTGCACAACACAGATGTTTATGTGGCCTACCTGCTGCAAACTACTATATCAAACACCTTTCATTCTGGAGCCCTGATGTGCTGTGCAGTGTACATTATTAATGTTCACAAATTGAATATTTTACCACACTTATGGTTTGGCTGCCAGGAGAGCCCATCCCTTGGTAACATGAGCCATCTGAGAATTTGCATAAACCATCTTTTCATTTATGCAGCCAATTCCCTAAAAAAAACCTACTAGGGAATGTAAAAGTAGGGCTGTTGAGAATATGCTGAGCCACAAACATATGTTATAATCTCTTAATTCTGGCAAGGTTAATTTTGCACAGGACAGCTAACTTGAATGGAACATTGCAAATGGTTCTGGTCCATTTCCTTTCCTCATATTAACATGTGATTTATTACTTGAAATCCATATTTACCACATATATCTATGTATTGTACTTAATCAAGTCACATCTGCAGAACAACTGGCCATGGCTGAACAAAGCCCAATTGGCACAAAGCGAAGACATGAGGAGGATAGCGAACATATCGAGGCCAAGCGGATCAGAGACCGTGGGGAGGAGGCCCAACCTCTGAACTCAGCCCAAGGCCAGGAAGCAGGCGAATGTGTTGAAATTAAGAAGGTTAAAACTGATAACCAGGTATGTTGGGTCAAGGCCTGTACATTTTGTGTATGGTGCAATGTTTTGAAGCAGGCATGGGCTGCATGGTGTGTCAGACATCAGAGGAGGAGAGGTGCTGATTGGTGGTGGAAGACTCGTAGCGAGACAACTACTTTTTTAATGGCAAAAACTCAGAACTCCTCACTAGATGCCATATTGTGCTGACAGCCATGATTTTTACACCCAACAACAGTATTGTACTTGTCACCATAGTTTGTAGGTGCATGTCGACTGGTGCTCACAATGATGTGAATTCTGTCAGGATGGATTAGCCAATGCTGTTGCTGACCACTACAACCAACTGGAGAACACAGGACTCAGGGAAAGAAGTAAAAGCCCGATATTCTACCTAAGGAATTTCAACAACTGGGTGAAGAGCATGTTGATTGGTATGTATACGCAAAGCTCACGGTTTTCTTCAACTCCCACAGTTTGATGCTTTCGTGTCTACGACCGTTCGCTTATATGGACTACGGCACGTGTTCCGTTAAAAAGCCCGCCAAAGGTGTGCGTCTTGTATCCTTATCTGAGTTGTAAGCTTACGCACATATCGACGATATGACAAAGCACACTCGCTCCACGTCCGTGCTGTCGGATGCTGATGTAGCATGGAAGTCCGTACTGAGAGCCGGGCGGGCCTGGGTGTCGACCGCCGCCGGCGCCGTCCGGTGCGCGAGCCGGGGCCGTGCCGCGGGAGCCGGGGCCGTGCCGCGGGAGCCGGGGCCGGCCGCGGGAGCCGGGGCCGGCCGCGGGAGCCGGGCCGTGCTGCGGGAGCCGGGCCGTGCCGCGGGAGCCGGGGGCCGGCTGCGGGAGCCTGGCCGTACCGCGGGAGCCGGGGCCTTGCCGCAGGAGCCGGGGCCGGCTGCGGGAGCCGGGGCTGTGCCATGGGAGCTGGGGCCGGCCGCGGGAGCCGGGGCCGGCCGCGGAAGCCGGGCCCGACCGCGGGAGCCGGGCCGTGCTGCGGGAGTCGGGCCGTGCCGCGGGAGCCGGGGCCGGCTGCGGGAGCCGGGCCGTACCGCGGGAGCCGGGGCCTTGCCGCGGGAGCCGGGCCGTGCCGCGGGAGCCGGGGCCGGCCGCGGGAGCCGGGCCGTGCTGCGGGAGCCGGGGCCGTGCTGCGGGAGCCGGGGCCGTGCCGCGGGAGCCGGGGCCGGCCACGGGAGCCGGGCCGTGCTGCGGCGCGCCTGCGGCCGCCGCTGACGCGTGGCTGTGTCGGCTGCAGGCGAGTTCGTCCGTCGGCTGGCTGACGAGATGGTGGACGATCACCGGCCGGCCGTGCTCGACATCGGCTGCGGCAAGGGCGGCGACATGCTCAAGTGGAAGAAGGTGAGGGCCGCCGGCTGCGCGGCGGGCAGGGCCGCTGCGGTCCTGGGGCGGCGCGCTGTGCTCGAAGAACATCACGAGGGTCGCTCGTTAGGCTCGAACGCCTGTCGGATCCAGTTTGAAACGATCTTGAAATATTGGAATTGTCATCGTTTTACCCATCGGAGGGGAGGAATCCGTTGCGCTTGAACCCAGGACTCGTGTGTAGTTGAAGTCGTGTCGGCAACGTCCGTCTACCGTGGGTCCGACACAGTGTGCGCAGTGCGTGTAAGCCAGCGGGTCGCCGCCGTCCGGGAGGTGGGCACTGGCGGCGCAGGCGGCGGCGGGAGCCGGTGTGACGGCGCTGGGGCGTGCCACCAGGCGGACATCCGGCACTTGGTGTGTGTGGACATCGCCGAGACGTCGGTGGAGCAGTGCCGCGGCCGCTTCCGGGACATGAAGGAGCGCAACCAGCGCGATCGCCACCCTCAGCCTCTGTTCAGCGCTGAGTTCATCGCCGCCGACTGCACTCGGGTAACGGCGCTCGCCTTCCCTGCCCCTCCCCCCCCCCGCCGGCTGTCTAGCCTTCAGCCGAGCCATCCTCCCCCCCCCCCTCTAGCACGTCCCCGCAGCTTTGCACTTCAGGTGTTTGATTATGCGTGCACATGCGGGAGTCATCGATCACGAGCGTGATAAAAGGGGCCGTTTTGCCACTAAGCCTCACAACGCCGAGAGAATGAAACGGCGGCATATTTTAGACGCGGCGCCGCATCGCGGCACGTCCCCGCGGTGCTACACTGGCGTCGAAGGCTCGCTGTACCGTTGCATCGGCATGGAAGCCTTGCTGTAGGCCTACTGCACTGGCCACCCACGTTAGCATGTTCTTCTCAGCGTAATCCCTTGTACGCCTCAGCTATCGACCCCCATCTCGTGTGTAACCATGTGCAGCCCGTCGGATGGCCGAGCTCTGGCGGCATTAGCGCTTTAGTAAGGTCATTGTGCCGTCCGGCGTCGCGGGGGCGTGTTGACTTTAGGGCTGTGCGCGACGCGGACGTGCTCGTGTGGGGACGGGCAGGGCTCCAGCGCTGTGCGTCACGGTGTGTCTCCACGTCGTGTCGCGCCGGCGGCCATGAGTTTTGTGTCGCGCCGCATGTCAACGAAATGGTGACATCCCCAATGGTGACGTGCTGACTGGTGACGTGCCGACTAGTGGCGTGCTGACTGGTGACGCGTGGACCGGTGACGTGCTGACTGGTGACGTGGTGATTCGTGACGTACCCTCTGGCGACGTGCTGACTGGCTGACGTGCCGTGCGATGACCTCGTCGGATTACATGCCTAGTGATGACGTGCCGTGTCGTGGCGCAACGTCGGACGGCGTGCCGTGTGACGGCGTGACGCGGGTGGCGTGACGCGTGGTCGCGTGCCACAGGTGCGGATCCAGGAGCAGTTTCGCAACCCGGAGATGCGGCTGGACCTGGTGAGCGTGCAGTTCGCGCTGCACTACGGCTTCGAGAGCCCGGCACAGGCCGAGCGGCTCCTGCAGAACATCTCGGACCGGCTGCGGCCCGGCGGCTACTTCATTGCCACCGTGCCGGACGCCCACGCCATCATGTCAGTGGGCCGACGGCGCTGGCGCTGGGACGGCGACGCGGCGCGGCGCCGCCGGCTGACGGGTGCCACCGGACGTCGGCCCCGCTGCCGCGCCCCTCCCCCCCCCCCCCCCCCTCTCTCTCTCTCGAAATACCGCGACCCTGCTGTAACTCCGTTCGCTCTTACCGTGATCAGACCTCCGACCCGAACACAACATGACTTGTGTGATACAGGCTCGACCTGCCCCAGGCGACCGGTGGGTGGACGTTGCTGACGTGTGCCGACCGAGACCGGTCGGCTGCGCTGGTCTTGCGACTGAGACGTTGACTGGTACCCTTGCCGAGTCCGTGACCAGTCTCTGCCCGGGTCCTGCGACGGGGCCTGACTGACCCCCGTGCCCTGTCAGGTGACCATTCGTCTCCCCTGGTCCTGCGAGCGAGGGCCTTGACTGACCCCCGTGCCCTGTCCGTTGACCATCTGCTCCCCTGGTCCGGCCAAGCGGGGCCTTGACTTGACCCTCGTGCCCGGTCCGTGACCATCTCTCTCTCCTGGTCCTGCGACGGGGCCCTGACTGACCCCCGTGCCCGGTCCGTGACAAATCTCTCCCCCTGGTCCTGCGACGGGGCCTGACGACCCCCGTGCCCGGTCGGGACCATCTCTGCCCTGGTCCTGCGACGGGGCCTGACTGACCCCCGTGCCCTGTCCGTGACCATCTCTCCCCTGGTCCTGCGACGGAGCCTGACTGACCCCCCGCGCCCGGTCCGTGGACCATCCTCTCCCCTGGTCCTGCGACGGGGGCTGACTGACCCCCGTGCCCTGTCAGTGACCATCCCTCCCCTGGTCCTTCAGCGGAGCCTGACTGACCCCCGTGCCCGGTCCGTGACCATCTCTCCCCTGGTCCTGCGACGGGGGCTGACTGACCCCCGTGCCCTGTCCGTGACCATCTCTCCCTGGTCCTGCGTACGGGCCTGACTGACCCCCGCGCCCGGTCCGTGACCATCTCTCCCCTGGTCCTGCGACGGGGGCTGACTGACCCCCGTGCCCTGTCAGTGACCATCCCTCCCCTGGTCCTTCAGCGGAGCCTGACTGACCCCCGTGCCCGGTCCGTGACCATCTCTCCCCTGGTCCTGCGACGGGGGCTGACTGACCCCCGTGCCCTGTCAGTGACCATCTCTCCCCTGGTCCTGCGACGGAGCCTGACTGACCCCCGCGCCCGGTCCGTGACCATCTCTCCCCTGGTCCTGCGACGGGGGCTGACTGACCCCCGTGCCCTGTCAGTGACCATCTCTCCCCTGGTCCTGCGACGGGGCCTGACTGACCCCCGTGCCCTGTCAGTGACCATCCCTCCCCTGGTCCTTCAGCGGAGCCTGACTGACCCCCGTGCCCGGTCCGTGACCATCTCTCCCCTAGTCCTGCGACGGGGCCTGACTGACCCCCGTGCCCTGTCAGTGACCATCTCTCCCCTGGTCCTTCAGCGGAGCCTGACTGACCCCCGTGCCCTGTCCGTGACCATCTCTCCCCTAGTCCTGCGACGGGGCCTGACTGACCCCCGTGCCCTGTCCGTGACCATCTCTCCCCTAGTCCTGGGACGGGGCCTGACTGACCCCCGTGCCCTGTCCGTGACCATCTCTCCCCTAGTCCTGCGACGGGGCCTGACTGACCCCCGTGCCCGGTCCGTGACCATCTCTCCCCTAGTCCTGCGACGGGGCCTGACTGACCCCCGTGCCCTGTGGTCCTTTAGCGGGGGGCCTGACTGACCCTCGTGCCCTGTCCGTGACCATCTCTCCCCTGGTCCCAACTGAGCCCGTGCTGCCCCCGTAACCATCTCTCCCCTGATCCCGACTGGCCCCGTGCTGTCTCCTTGACCATCTCTCCCCTCGTCCTTCAGCGGGGCCTGACTGACCCCGCGCCCTGTCCGTGACCGACTCTCCCGTTCTCCCCGCCAGGGCGCGACTGGAGCGGGCGGGCGGCCAGCAGTTCGGTAATGAGCTGTTCCAGGTGCGCCTGCGCCGGCCGCACGAGCAGCCGCCGCCCCTGTTCGGCGCCCAGTACGACTTCTTCCTGGAGGGCGTGGTCGACTGCCCCGAGTTCCTCGTGTTTCTGCCGCTGCTCGAGAAGTGAGTGGCCGCACGGCCGGCCGTGGCCCGTCCGGTCGCGGACGCGGCGTCCTCGGTCTTGTTTCCTCTGGCGGGCGACAGGAGCTCGGAAGAGTCGTTGCGGTTCTGATGCTACTATATGGTCACGTTGGTGGCGTGCCGTTCTGCCAGTACTTCCGAATGCTGGTGCCATTCTATCATTATCTCCGCCTGCTCGCGGTGTTCTGCCAGTCCTTTGTACGTTGGCCCCCGCCCCCCTCCCGTACGTCGAGGGCGTCGACCCACCCGGCCCGGCGTTGAGCCTGCCGGGGCGCGGTGTCCGTGGTCACGTGACCAGTGGTGGCAGCGCAGTTTAGCTGCTGACGCCGTGTCGCCAGATTGTGCAAGAAGTACGGCTTGGACCTGGTGTACAAGAAACGCTTTGACGAAATGTTTAACACATACAAGGGCCTACCGGAAGGCAAGATGCTGCTCAGCAAGATGCAGGCGCTCGAGGTGAGTGATATCAGATCTGATCTGACCCCGTGCCCTGTCCGTGACCGTCTCTCCCGTTGGATGGTTGTTTGGATGGTTCTCCTGTCAAGATGGTTTATATATATATATATATATATATATATATATATATATATATATATATATATATATATATATATATATATATATATATATTTGAGCGCCGCTTAAGCCATGGTTTGGTGCCATTACCCAAATGGCATCATTGCCTTTCACGGAAAGCCTGGCTTTTTCGATACACTGCGTGATGATGGGTGGGCGATTCTCGGACTCATCCAGCGTATTCCTCGTTACCCCCACTTTCCCACTACAGGTTAACTAATATAGTCGCGGCGATATCGAGTCCACAATTCATTGTCCGTTGGATGTATGCGTTCTCGGGAGCCACGGTCTGCGATCGGTGGTGGCAGCGATCCACCGCTTACTAGCTCGGCCATGCTGTCGAGAGCCCTCGACATCGCTGCCCGCCCACCGCACGCATCGTGGCTATTAAGAGCTCCACCACTTCGCAGTATCCCGTCGTGGTACGACTTGTGCACGATTCCTCTGAGCCGTGGTGGCGCACACTGCGTGACATAGCTCGTGTGTTTGCTTGCATCCCAACACCTGCGGACGCGGAGCGGCAGCACGCCTGGACCCTCGTTTGACCGTGCCGGGACCGTGCTCCCCTCCCCTGACCGCGGCCCCGGCCCGACACGGCGCGCTCCGCTGCAGGCGTACCCGGCGCAGCACGGAGCCGAGCTGCTCGCCAGCGAGTCCGAGTACGAGCACGCGCGGCCGGCGGCGCGCCACGAGCGCTGCGTCGGCACCATGTCCCGCTGCGAGTGGCAGGCCTGCTCGCTCTACCTGGCGCTCGGCTTCAGAAAGGCCAAGCCGGCCCGGTAGCGGCCGGCCGGAGATGAGTGCGGTTCCGTTCCAGTCGGCTTCCCAAGTGCGCCCACGCCCCCAATGTTGTTACCTTCTCATGTGACAGTGAATGACAATACACGGTGGTGAATGTTCGGATACATTGGTCCCCGTATTAAATAGAAGCCTGGGTCCGAGTCTGCCCCATCCAGCCGGCTTTCGAACAACAGGTATATGTATAAAGGTTATGATTGCTTACGAGCTGCAAATAGTTCATGACGGTAATAAATACAGATCACGTCCAGCACAAGCATCACAATTGCATGATGATCAAGGCGAGTCGACACTGCGCGCCGCTTGGCGGGCGCGCGTCGCATCGGCGGGTCCGCAGCAGTCCTCGCGGCGGCGCCGCTGTTGTAGTTACGTGCAGCTAATGACAACGCTGCCACGGCCGCGGCTCTGCTGACCACGCCTTCGCTCTGAGCCTCGCCGGAGCCCTCCCCCCCCCCCCCCCCAAATTACACTAAGCTCCGTCCAGCCCATGAGGCCGTTAGCGGACTCTGCCGCGGACTAGCCGTCGCTGGAATCGGCCGGCCGTCAGCTCAGGTCGGCCCTGCGGGGGAAGAAGTGACGTCATCACAGGGTACCTGGACGGGCGCGGCGCCGATCAACCAGTGCCGAAGCCATTGACGGTTTACCCGCTCCCAACCACCTTTCGCGTACAACCGCAGTGACGTGGATGTAGATATTTCTAACTGGCAGTTACGAGTGAGATCAACGTTCAGGGAAGGGCATCATGTGACGGGGACCGAGGTCACAACAGCTCGGGTGGACCCCTCCCCGACACCCACCGTGTCACGGGGCCGAGGTCAGGACGGCTCGGGTGGACCCCTCTCCGACGCCCACCGTGTCACGGGGCCGAGGTCAGGACGGCTCGGGTGGACCCCTCTCCAACACCCACCGTGCCACGGGGCCGAGGTCAGGACGGCTCGGGTGGACCCCTCCCCGACACCCACCGTGTCACGGGGCCGAGGTCAGAACAGCTCGGGTGGACCCCTCCCCGACACCCACCGTGTCACGGGGGCCGAGGTCAGGACGGCTCGGTCCGGTCGTCGCAGTCGAGGGAGTTGTGTCGCCGGATGGTCTCCGTGTCGAAGGTCTGGTCGAGCCGGTCCTGGCGGCACCGGCCGATGATCCAGAGCGCCTCGGTCTTCACCTGTCGACGGAAGGTCTGGTTAGGTCCGGTCCGGCCGGCTCACACAGCAGGACGACCACTCACTGCCGTACATGTGACAACTGCTCATGGTGAGGTACAGTGTGACGACCACCCACACTATCGTACATGTGACAACTGCTCGCGCTGAGGTACACAGTGTGGCCACCACTCACACCGCCGTACATGTGACAACTGCTCATGATGAGGTACAGTGCGACGACCACCCACACTATCGTACATGTGACAACTGCTCACGATGAGGCACACAGTGTGACGACCACCCACACTATAGTACGTGTGGCAACTGCTCACGATGAGGTACACAGTGTGACGACCACTCACACAGCCGTACATGTGAGAACTACCCACGATGCGACACACAGCACATTGACTGCTCTTAACGTGGCGCGCCGCGTGATCGGGGCGACGACGGCGCCCCCGCAGTTCAAGAATATATATAATATATATATATATATATATATATATATATATTATATATATTCGGCGGCTCACACGGGTACCGAGCTGCTGTATAGCGCACATCACTGTGGCGAGCTCGCGAACATCTGGATGCCGAGGAATGGCTCGACTAGACACCATTCACGTCACAACAGCTGGGGCAGCCAACTTCCGCCCCACGCTGCGCCGGCCGGGGCCTGTGCGCACAGTTACGCTTCGCAGCCACCTGGGCGGCGGGTTTGACACATCTAGGCACACGTGCGACGGCGGGGGCTCGTTTTCTGGCACCCCGAGTGTCGTCTTCACAGCCATCCCCCGGCATTTCATCCTGGCCGCGGGGCACCCACTGCCACTCACGTCTTCGAATATGATATCCTCGAAGATCTCCTGCAGGAAGCGGCGTGACGACAGCCGGAAGTTGTAGGAGGCCATGATCTGGTGGATCTCGGAGTAGAGACAGAGGTCCGAGCGGAGCATGCCGCTGAACTTCTGCTTCAGTCTGCGGCGCGGGCGCACGCTCGTCAACGGCGCCACGCCGAGAGGCGCTTGCTGCAGCCAGTCAACTCCGGGCGTACTCTCACTCAACTCCGCATCCGCCAGCTGCGAAGCACGCACCGTTTCTGCCACAGCCAAGGGGTACAGACACGACGACGCCATGACGACGGATACAATCACACATACCGTCCGGTATTTGCCACACGGAAACGGTGCCCGCTTCCATTACAACTAACGCCCGCACGTATCCGCTGAGGCTCGCTCGGCCGCCGCGAGCGAGCCGTCGGCGAGTTACTGAGGCTCTCAGGCACTGGGCCCGCACGGTCGCGCGGCGTCCGCGCGCCGATCGGTCTGATACATACGACAACAGGCCCTGCTCCGCGGCGCGTACGCCGACGCTGGTGCTGAGCGCTCCGACGAAACGCAGCAGCTCGCGCCGCACCAGCGAGCGCACGTGGCCGCCGCTCATGCTGCGGCTGCCACCTGGCGGCAGCGGCGGCAAACGGTCACAGGCGGTCGGCCGCGGCGGAGGCCAGCCACACACGAGACGCGCGCAGGCGTGCTGATCCGGCAGCCTCGCCCTAAGACGCACTGATCTGGTCCTTCGGCTATGTCGCTCCAACGTACGGATCGTGCTAAGACGGGGGCGGCCGGCTGGCTACCACCAATGATGATGTCAACAGCCGAGCCCGACCCTCGTCCACCCTGACCAGCCTGGTGCGTCACGCGCGCGGCGGTGGCCGCGGAGGCGTGAGACACCGGCCTCCATGGGGGGCGGCCAGGTATCAGAACCACCACGCCAAACACTCCGGCCTCCGGCAGACGCGCGTCAAAACGTCAGCGCCCAGTCCAGAGCGGTGCGCAGCAGGGACGCCGGCCGCCACACACGGCGCGGCCGACCGGCGGCGACGCAGTCCCAGCCGAGCCTCACCCAGCAGCTGGTCGTTGCTGGTCATGGAGGTGGCGCTGCCGACGCTGGTGATGGAGGACGGAATCTCGAGGGCGCCGCCGCCGCCGCCGCCGGGCCGCAGGTGCGCCAGATACGGGTCCGGATGCGGCGGCGACGACACGTGCTGCGCGCTCTCCGTGCTCGACTCCGTGTCTGCGGCGACGCGCCGGCGGGACGGCGTCACGAGCGGCACGGCCCACGGAGAACACCGAGAGGCGGACGAGCGGGCCGTCCGCGTGATGTGCACGCAGTGAGCACTCCCGATGGTCGCCCGTGGGTCACAACACGACGCGTGCTGTTACCATCTGCGCTGCACCCAGCGTCCGCTACGAGGCCCGGATAAGCCCGATGGGCGGTTATGACGCCAGCATGTTCGGCGACTATCCCACCAGAACGGCAGTGAGTCTGGCAAAACGCAAAGGTGATTAACATCCCACGCAAGCGGCACGCTGCCCCTGAAGCCGGTGCGCCCCAGACGTCATCTGATGGAGCTGAGACGCCCTGCTGGGTTTGGAGGCGTCCGCCGTCGCCCACCTGTTCTATTGCGAGGCCTCCGCTCCTGGCGGTCCTTCAATGTGAAGCACCTCAGGCAGTTGGAGGAGTTGTGGAACTCGAACACGCCATCGTCGTCTGTCACAAGAGACCAACCCATGAGAGGGGTCACTAATCTTGGGGGCCTATGCAAAACAGGAAGGTGCGGGTACAAGGAAAGCTGCCCCTTCGGTGCGGTGACATCCCGACAGGACGCGCGGACGCGCTGAGTTCAACGATCGCGGCGATGTGCAGTGCACAAAGAGCGTCACTTACAGAACATCATAAAACATGAAAACCAGCATGGCGAACAATGACCTTCACTTGTGCCGACATGATGTGATCGTGGCACATGTGCCGACGCGATGCGACTCCAGTTACACACGGCCCGGCAGAAGACCAGGTGGCCACCAGTTTACATCTCTGAGCTCCACCAGACGCACGGCGCCCCAGAGTACCGGGCAGCGGCGACGGCAGCCCCCGGAGCCGTACCGCACGAGAGGCTGGCCTCCTTTGAGCTGTTCTCAGGGTCTGTGTCGTCGAACGACTGCCGGGCGGCGGCGGCAGCAGCGGCCACGCCCGGCAGCGGCGCCAGCAGGCCCGACGACAGCTCCAGCGGCAGCGCGATGCCCACGTAGGCGGGACCGAAGCCGGCGCGCTGCAGCTGGTACCGCTTGACGGTGGTGAGCGAGGAGCGGCGCGAGCTGGCGCGCAGCAGCAGCGGCCCGCCGCCGGCCGGCTGCCACGAGCCCGGCGACGTCGAGCCCACGCTGCTGACGGCGGCGGACAGAGGGCCGCCCGGTCAGCGGCACGGCACAGGCCTAGCTCGGAGGCACGCACACGGACACCGCGTGGAGGCCGAGGCGCGGCGAGGTGAGGGCCGAGTGGCTAGCGCTCCAGACAGCGACGTGGGGGAGCCCGAGCTCGATCCCCGGTTGCGCTATGGCCCCCTGAGCGCTGTGGCCAATACAGTCGCTGGCGCTCCATAAAAGGGGTGTTGTAACGTGCATCACGTTCCTTTTGATTAAGCGGGGGATATGACAGGTCAGGGGGACATGCACAGACAGGGTCAGGGAACATGCACAGACGGGGTCAAGGGATACGCACGGATAGGGTCAGGAGGATATGCAATGACAGGCCCAGGGAGATGTGCACAGACAGGGTCAGGGGACATACAGAGAAAAGGTCAGGGGGGTATGCACAGACAGGGTCAGGAGGATATGCAATGACAGGCTCAGGGAGATGTGCACAGACAGGGTCAGGGGACATACAGAGAAAAGATCAGGGGAATATGCAAAGACAGGCTCAGGGAGATGTGCACAGACAGGGTCAGGGGACATACAGAGAAAAGGTCAGGGGATATGCAAAGACAGGCTCAGGGAGATGCGCACAGACAGGGTCAGGGGACATACAGAGAAAAGATCAGGGGAATGCAAAGACAGGCTCAGGGAGATGTGCACAGGCAGGGTCAGGGGACATACAGAGAAAAGATCAGGGGAATATGCAAAGACAGGCTCAGGGAGATGTGCACAGGCAGGGTCAGGGGACATACAGAGAAAAGGTCAGGGGAATATGCAAAGACAGGCTCAGGGAGATGTGCACAGACAGGGTCAGGGGACATACAGAGAAAAGATCAGGGGATATGCAAAGACAGGCTCAGGGAGATGTGCACAGACAGGGTCTGGGGGACATACAGAGAAAAGGTCAGGGGAATATGCAATGACAGGCTCAGGGAGATGTGCACAGACAGGGTCAGGGGACATACAGAGAAAAGGTCAGGGAAATATGCAATGACAGGCTCAGGGAGATGTGCACAGACAGGGTCAGAGGACATACAGAGAAAAGGTCAGGGGAATATGCAAAGACAGGGTCAGGAGAACAAGCAGATACGACAGCCGAGACGGGGAGGCGAGCCGAGGCGGGGGCTATAGTCTTAACGACAGCCCAAGGCTTTCGACATCGGTCACTACAGGAAGCATTCGGCGGTGCGGCACCAACGCATACGTCATCTGTCCCCAACAACACTCGTGCTTGGGTACTGCAGGTAGAACCGACGAGGATACGTTACACGACACCACCGCCTCAGGGTCCAGTCTGTGCCCGCCCGAGAGTCCAGTCTGTGGCCGCCCGAGGGTCCAGTCTGTGGCCGCCCGGAGGTCCACCCTGTGCCCGCATGAGGGTCCAGTCTGTGCCCCCCCCCCCTCAGGGTCTAGTCTGTGGCCATACGAGGGTCCAGTCTGTGCCCACCTCAGGGTCCAGTCTGCGTCCACCTCAGAGTCCGGTCTGCGCCCACCTGAGGGTCCAGTCCGCGCCCACCCGAGGGTCCAGTCTGTATCCACCTCAGGGTCCAGTCTGTGCCCACCTCAGGGTCCAGTCTATGGCCGTCCGAGGGTCCAGTTTGTGGCCGTCCGAGGGTCCAGTCTGTGCCCGCCCGAGGGTCCAGCCTGTGTCCGCCCGAGGGTCCAGTCTGTGGCCGTCCGAGGGTCCAGCCTGTGCCCACCTGAGGGTCCGGCTGAGCCGAGCGTCGATGGTGAGCGAGGCGAGCCGGCGGCGGCCGCCGTCCAGCAGCGGGCCGGCAGCCGCGGCGCGCGCCTGCGCCTCCTCCACCGTGTCGCTGCGACGCACGCGGCCAGTCAGGCCCTGCAGCGTGGCGTAGCCCTGCGCGTCCTCCTCGCTCGGGTAGTAGCTGGGCGGCGAAAGCGAGAGCGAGACGGACGGCAGCCGCGGCCGGGCCGGTGCCGCCAGCCACGTCGAGCTGGCCGCCGAAGCCGGCGTCGCCTCCAGCAGCTCGCCTATCGAGCCCGAGCTCGCGATGGGACTGAGCGCGGGCGGCAGCGCCTCGGCGACCGGCGCCGAGAGACTCTCCGCCGACGAGCTGGGCGCCGGCGGCGACGCCGCGCCCTCCCACGCCGAGAACTCGGGGATGACGGGCGCGCGCGCCGCGTCGCTCAGGCTGCGCGCGTGCCGGGCGGCGGCCGAGCGGGCGGCGCGCGCCGCCGCCGGCAGCGTGGCGCTCCGACCGACGGACAGCTCGTCGCCGGGCTCGCTGCCGCCGCTGGTGGTGCGCCGCCAGCCGCCGGCCACGTCGCAGCTGGAGCCGCTGCTCACCGACAGCAGGTCAGGCGCGCTCGTCGCCGGGCGCGTCCAGCTTCTCCTCGTCCACCACCCAGTGCTCGGTCCAGCGGCGGCAGACGCACTGCCAACCGAGCGGTGCCAGCGCGGCGGCGCCCTGCGGCGTCGAGCCGAGCAGGCCCAGCGCCAGACAGGCGGTGGCGCGCGCCGCCAGCGAGGCCGAGCCGGCGGCCAGGGCGGCGGCCGCCGTCACCAGGCCGGCGTCGGCCAGCCAGGCGGCGCCCAGGCCTGTCCGGCCCACGTTGCCCAGCGCCCAGAGCGCCGTCTTCAGCTGGTGCAGGTTACCGGTGACGGAGGGGTCGGCCGCCGCCGTCTTCACCACCTGCCCGACGAAGGACGGGGGCTCTCTGAGACAGGCACGAAGCGTCCGACGGCGGCGATGGGCGGGTGGGTCCCACCATACTGCTACAGGCCATTCACCAGAACGGCACCGGTAGTAGGGCATACAAACAGCCAACGCGCACGCCCTGGTCTCACATTCCTACACCCACGGGTTCGTCGCCAGAACAGCATGGCAGACAGGCAGACGACAGAAGTCAGCGCACCTACGAACAGGCAAATACCGGCATCCCGCACCAGCCACATGCCCAGACGTGCAGATGTCAGTCCTGCTGCGCATGGTCAGCGGTCAGTAGAAATATACCCGTCCCGAGTCATCACCGGTCCAGCCGCACACCCGGCCCGGCGGACATCAGCACCGGTCCAGCCGCACACCCGGCCCGGCGGACATCAGCACCGGTCCAGCCGCACACCCGGCCCGGCGGACATCAGCACTGGTCCAGCCGCACACCCAGCCCGGCGGACATCAGCACCGATCCAGCCGCACACCCAGCCCGGCGGACATCAGCAACGGTCCAGCCGCCTGCACTCACAGACCCAGAGCGGGCCGCGGACGGCGGCGCGCCTGCTCCGTACCCGGATCATGTCGGTGACCTCCGGCCGGCCGCGCACCATGTCGAAGCCGGCCCGGTGGTGAGCCAGCTGGCCGTAAAGGTGGCAGGGCAGGTGGACGGGCCGCGTCTGGTGCCGGTCGCCGGTGCGCCGGCCGTACCCGCCGCCGGCCGACCGCTGGTGACGGGTCAGAGAGTCGTTCAGCTCGGCCTCCAGCAGCGACACGTACCTGCGCGACGCAGAGCAGCGTCAGAACGCCACCCTGCGCTCGTTGGTTTCCACCTCATTTTGATGTCGCCGCGTCTGATTAAAGCGTCATGAGCGCCACAGTAGCATTGGGTCATCACACGTCACGCGGCCACGAATCCGTCGCACATGCGCCAACACTGACGTCCGATGCGCGGTCCCTCTGGCGAGATGCACGCGCCGCCCGGGCGGCCGCGAGGCGCGCCGCGCCGCGCACCTGGCGTTGAAGCCGTCCCGCCAGCGGTCCAGCTCGTGGTCGAGGAAGTTGGCGCGCTGGAACATGCGGTACCCGGCCGGCACGGAGAGCAGCCGGACGAACAGCAGCACGCCGCCGTCGCCCAGCGACAGCACCGACGGCTGCTGGCTGACCACCTCCCGCAGGTACGGCTGCGGCGGCGGCGCGGCCAGAGGTCAGCCACACCGGCGACGGCGCCCCCCGACCCTCGACCGACGGCAGCCGCCGCCACACGATCAACACGCGCTACCAGTAGCCTGGCGTCGCTGCGCTGCAACGTCGCGCCACTGAGGACGGTGGACGAATGGCGCCGAGATCTGTCAATGAGTTGCAGCCTGTGTGTACAACGGCCGGGTTCGACGCAGCACTATATCGACCAACGTTTACTGATTGGCCTCTCACGTGTCACCCGACGGCGGGAGAGCCATCTACGAGTGACAGTCCCAATACGAAAAGCGTTGCCATATTCTTGATTACATGGGGTGACCAGTGAGTCGTTCGCACTGGAACAATACGCGCGCCCCCACCTTAATTCGCCTTGGTCCCTCCCAATTCTCATAACGGCGCGCCCCAGTTGGCAGACATTATGGCCGCCAACGGCACTGCCACCACCACCCCTGCACCCCTGTTTCCAGTCTCAAGCCTCAGCATCGATACATCGGTGTCCGTTCTGCCCAGGGCGGGCGGCGCGTACCTCGTAGTCGCACACCTCCTCCACCACCTGGAGTGCGGCGGCCGCCACGCGCTCCGACGAGTCGTACAGCTGGCCGACCAGCAGCTCGACCCCCCAGCGCGCGAAGCCCGGGCAGCGGGCGCGCGCCAGCAGCCGCAGGAACTGCGTACAGTACAGCCGCTTGGCCTCCTCCGGCAGCGCCAGACACTGCTCCAGCAGGGACCTGGCGGCGGTGGCAGGCGGCGGTCACGGCCGGCCAGCGGGCGAGCCAGCTGCGCCGACGCCGCGCAGCTCGGCCGCACGCATCGGCGACGGTGCCGGACGCCTGCTGTTTAACGATGACGGTGCTTCACGCACGCGAGGTGGAGACTGTCCAAGGGTAGTCAGCGCCCGGAGACTCCGGACCTCAGGGTGGAGGTACCTGCGCACGGCGTTCTCGATACGTTAGAACTGCATGACCGATGCTCACTTCAATCACTGTGGTCCACACGACGCCCTGCTTTCAGTGCTGCCTCTCCAGAGGCGCCTCAGCCAGCTCGGTCAGCGGAGCCTCGGCCGACCCGACCGCCGGCGCCCCAGCCACTCACCAGGCCCATCGGCCGCCGCTGTAGTCCAGACTGGACACCACCAGCTTGACGTAGTAGTCCCAGCCGGCAGAGCGCATCAGCTGCAGCAGGCTGCCGACGGCGGCCGACGGTCAGACGTTACTCGGTCACCCCACCGCGGCCGTGGACGGAACTGGCCAGCTGACCGCCCCATGGCCAGCCCCGACACTGAGCCGTGCTAGGCGGCAAGCCAACTTTCGAGACCTTCAATCGGGCCTATTCAGGTGCCCTCCAGATCAAACCGAGCAAATACCGAACACAAACGAGCCCGGTTAACGGAACCTCTCAGTCCGGAAGCCCAGCGGTGTTGGCCGCCGCCGCCCGCTCGTCGAGCGCCCTCTGGCGACGACTTACACGGCAGGCAGGCCGTGCTGGTCGAGCAGGTCGCGGCCCCGCTGCGCGCTGGACACCCGGCCCAGCAGCAGGAAGTAGTACTGCACGTTGGAGTTGATGAGCGAGCTGGCGCTGATCTGCTGGCCCGACTCGGGCTCGGCGTCGGCCGTGCCGCGCAGGAACGCCGCCATCGTGGCCACCAGCGAGCCCAGCAGGTGGCAGCACGTGCCGCACACGCTCTGCCCGGCGGGGAGGGGCTGTCAAGCGGAGGGACGACACCGACGCAGCGCGCGCCGCGCTGGGCGCTGCGGTCGGAGACGGAGATCACAGGCGAACGAATGGTGAAGAAAGACACCGCACGCGCACAGTGCTAGGAGCACTATCAACAGGGTTTCTTCCGGGGACATGCAGTTGACCCGTCATTCTGCCGATTGTGAAGACCACACGAGGCACCACAAAACCAAGAACAGTCTGCTTCCTCAACTCGGCCGAGCTCGACATCTCCAGCGCTCCCGCACCCCAGCCACCCTTGGGCGCGAGCATTCCCTCACCGGCTCGATGTCCAGAAGGGCGGCCACCAGGTCCGACAGCACCAGCAGCTGCTGGTCGTCGGCGCGGTTGACCGACTGCCGCCAGAACGGCCGGCCGGCCGGCTCCAGCTGGGCGCACAGCTGCGCCAGCGGCGCGCACAGCTGCCCGCTGTGCTGGCTCGTCGACAGCTGCGGCAGGCGGCGGCAGCGGTCTGTCAGCCGGCCGCACCGTACGGTGATGACGCGCCCAGCCCCAGGGCAGCGGCCGCCGCCGGCACGGAGCATGCGGCAGGCGAGGCTATCTCGCTGTGACACGTGGCTTCGATGAGGCAGCGTCGGAGGGGACGCCTGGTCCAGTGCGCGGCCACACCACGCGTACAACCGGGAGAGCCCCGCTGTTGAACAGGCATCCTCCCCTTCCCAAGGGTGCTGAGCCAAACACTGTCAAGCCATTTCCCCTCGACATAAGGAGTCGGCAGCCATCATTGGGACGTTCCACATACATCGCCGGGAATACGAGAAGTTCGCCAACTGGTCAGCTACGCCTCACAACGGAAATTCACCGGGCATCCGGAATGTCCACACGGTCGAGCGCATTCAGACCGAAAAGCCAGCCAGCCGAGCCAACCAGGAGGTGGTCAAGCATGAGATGAGCATCCATGAGATGTCAACCGCTCCGGCGTCACCATCTGGCCACACCACGACACACGAGGAGGCCGCCGGCCGGCCGCCAGCCTCCCGCTCCTCCGGAGCAATCAGTACCGAGCGAGCGAGCGAGCGGAGGCGGATCTCGGCGCCAGCCGACCGCCGGCCTCCCGCTGCTCCGGAGCAATCAGTACCGAGCGAGCGAGCGAGCGGAGGCGGACCTCGGCGCCAGCCGGCCGCCAGTCTCCCACTCCTCAGGAGCAATCAGTACCGAGCGAGCGAGCGAGGCGGCGGGCCTCGGCGCCGGCGGACGGCGGGCGGAGGACGAGTCAGGTCTCGGAGCGGTGCTAGGAGGGGAGCGGGAGAGGCCTGGGCCTGGCGGCAGGCGGGCCCCACACAGTAGCTCCGCCGGACCGGCGCGTGGTCTGGGGGCGAAGACGGCAGCAAGACGCCCGGGAACTTTGACGCCATTTTGAAAGGAGTACACGGATATTTTGGTGTCCAGCATTGTTTAAAAAATATAGCAACGAATACGCTGAAATTAACACGGACGCGCAAGACTTCCTTCGCAACTGACCCAACTCCCCGGCGCATTAGCCGTCGTTGCGGACACGCAGTGCGGCACAGGTGCCTCGGCGGCCGCGGTGGCGGTGGCGGTGGTGGCGGCGGCGGCGGAGCGGACCTACCTTGACCAGACAGTGGACGGAAGGCCAGCGCCAGGCGGCCGGGTCCTCCGACGACAGCACGCGGCTCTCCGCCACCAGCCTCCGCACGCAGGCGTCACTCACCCGCGCCTGGCGTCCGGGTCACAGGGTCAGCCCGCTGAGAGGCCTTTCAGAGCCGCCCCCGTAATACTGACACGGACCACACTACTCCCCGCCCGCAGAGAGAGAGCTCTGTCTGTTTCAAGCATACGTGACTCCATTCCATCGCTTCAGTAACACCTTCTCCAAGGCCGACCAACGGCGTCCTTAACACGGTCCTGTTCGAAGCCGAGATGGAGGTCTGAGTTCCCGACATTCGCTCTGCAATGTAGCAACGTGAAGGCATGTAGTCTCCAACAAAAGCATCTCTTGTCTCTCCAAACTTCGTTTTTTACAGATAAGGACTATTGTTCGGTTCCTATACAGAGATCCCACGGCCCCTAATTTCACAAACACCTCGAGCAGACCAAAACACCCCGTTTCCCTCCCAGCCGTGCCCACCACCGCCCGACCCGAACCCAGCGGCCCTCCCGCACTGACCCCACCGCTCTCCTTGAGCGCCCGGTCGAAGATATCCGTCACGGGTGGATCGGCCACGCCGCAGAACGCCATCTGCTGGCGGAAGAAGAGACTGGCGCCGTCGTGTGAGGCGCGGCGGCGCCGGAAGGCATGCAGCCTGCTCAGCAGACTGATGGCCTCGGTCACCTGAAACACGGCGGGGCTCTCAGACTGATGGCCTCGGTCACCTGAGACATGGTGGGGCTCTCAGACTGATGGCCTCAGTCACCTGAAACACGGCGGGGGCCTCAGACTGATAGCCTCGGTCACCTGAAACACGGCGGGCCCTCAGACTGATGGCCTCGGTCACCTGAAACACGGTGGGCCCTCAGACTGATGGCCTCAGTCACCTGAAACACGGCGGGGGCCTCAGACTGATAGCCTCGGTCACCTGAGACATGGTGGGGCTCTCAGACTGATGGCCTCGGTCATCTGAGACATGGTGGGGCTCTCAGACTGATGGCCTTGGTCACCTGAAACATGGTGGAGCTCTCAGACTGATGGCCTTGGTCACCTGAAACACGGCGGGGCCCTCAGACTGATGGCCCCGGTCACCTGAAACACGGCGGGGGCCTCAGACTGATAGCCTCAGTCACCTGAAACACGGCGGGGGCCTCAGACTGATGGCCTCGGTCACCTGGAACACGGCGGGGCCCTCAGACTGATGGCCTCAGTCACCTGAAACATGGCGGGGGCCTCAGACTGATGGCCTCGTTCATCTGAAACATGGTGGGCCCTCAGACTGGAAACCTTAGTCAGCTGAAACACAGCTGGGTTGACTGTACGTTGTCAGTGCCGCAGTCATATAAGCACGGCAGTGGTGGCAGTCAACGGTCCTTAATGCTGTCGCAATATCACGGATCTTCTTCGTCCTATTGAATACAAAGAGAAGAGTGGTAGCGGCAGCAACCGCAGCTTTCTTGTAAGAAGTGGCCTCAGACAGAGCAAAACAAAACCTCAGAGGTGGAATAGAACACCAGATGGATTGCCCCGACCAATCACACCCTCACCAAACGACATTTCTCACAGGTGTTTAATACATAACTTTTGCCGCAGGGCACTAATGTAGTCTAGCGGTCTTGCTGGTGGATAAGTTATGGATTATATATATATATATATATATATATATATATATATATATATATATATATATGTGTGTGTGTATGTGTATGTGTATGTGAATGTGAATGTGAATGTGAGTGTGCGTGTGCGTGTGCGTGTGCGTGTGCGTGTACGTGTGCGTGTGCGTGTGCGTGTGCGTGTGCGTGTGCGTGTGTGTGTGTGTGTGTGTGTGTGTGGAGTAGAAGTTTTACAGTGTACCGCGTGTGTTGCATGTAAACATGGGCCGCAGAAAACGAAATGTAGCTGCACGTTAGCGGCAGAAGTTTTTGGCGTAGTACTAATGTCGTGAAAGCGTCCAAAGAGTACCAAATCATGAATGATTCGTCCAGCTGGTCGGCTAAATAGCATGGAGCCAATAGCGCAATTCGTGAAGACTAGTTTTCATCATGCAGTCAGCACCGGGGCTGGAGGGCCAGCCTCTAGCCGTGAAGAGGCCGGTGAAGCCGGTGGGACCGGCTGGCCGGCGGCCGTGGCGCCGCCCCACCTCACCGTGCGCTCGGTGGGGCCGCACTGGTCGGCCCGGCTCAGCAGCGTCGGCAGACAGTTGGAGAAGCGGGCACACTCGATGGGCAGCACCTCGTTCACCTGGTGCAGGATGTCGCCTGCCGAACGGCACCCGGCCGGGGCACACGGGTCAGCTCCGGACACAGCCGCCGGTGCGTGCCGCTCGGCCCTCTGCTGAGCGACACCCGGCCGGGGCACACGGGTCAGCTCCGGACACAGCCGCCGGTGCGTGCCGCTCGGCCCTCTGCCGAGCGGCACCCGGCCGGGGCACACGGGTCAGCTCCGGACACAGCCGCCGGTGCGTACCGCTCAGCCCTCTGCCGAGCGGCACCCAGCCGGGGCACACGGGTCAGCTCCGGACACAGCCGCCGGCACAGCCGCCGGAGCGTGCCGCTCGGCCCGCTGCCGAGCGGCACCCGGCCGAGGCACACGGGTCAGCTCCGGACACAGCCGCCGGCACAGCCGCCGGTGCGTGCCGCTCGGCCCGCCGCCGGACGGTACCGGCCCGCGTCGTGGCGGCAGAGTCCAGATCAGCGTCCGGAAACTTTCGGTATGATGCCACTGAGACATCATACCAGACACCAAGGCAAGGCCAGACAACACCCATCCGCTCGACCAGAAAGCGCGGTCACGGGAAAGCAGATACCAACACCGCTTTCGTAAACGCAGATCAGGTCTCCCGTTAAATAAATCTGTCGTATCCTCCCCTTCTTATGGACTTCCCAAAGAAGCCACTCGCCCAACGGCTTGGTCGCGCTGCGCCCGCCCGGCTAACCAGGGCGGGCTCACCACTGCCGCCCGCCGCTGGGGTCCAGTCCACTCACCGATGAGCAGTGTGGCAGCCAGGCTGAGCGGCCGGTCCGCCGTCACCACCACCTCCACCAGGCCCTCCAGCACGCCGTTCTCCAGCAGGATGTACAGCAGCGCGGCCATATGGTTCATCACCAGGTTGGGCCTGCGAGGACATCACGTAATGAGTCACCCTCCGACGACAGAGAGAGCTCACACAAGACTTCTCCTGGAACACTTGGAGCATTGTTTACCAGCGGGCTGATCAGCGCCGAGGACTTGCGGCTCCGACCCATCCGCCGCAAGACACCGGGCGCCAGGCAACCAAGACACAGCTGGCGCCGACGGACCCTGGATTCGCCCTCCGAACCGGCGCGGCGGAGCGGCATCTGCCGCCGTCCATAAGGCCGGGAAACCAACCAGCGTTCCACCAACACACGCGCCACATGGAAAGATTGTGATGTAGGCAGGGGGCGCCCAGCCCATTGACGCCGAATGTTCAACGAGCGTCCATGCCATGCAAACTCGTGTCGAATGCTCCGCTCCGTGTGGCACCGCAGCGGTCCACACAGAACCGACTGAAAATGAATCCATCTAGGGCCAAACTTATCATCTTAACGTCTCGGCACCACAACTTCGATGTCAAGTTCTCGGTCCATTTCTGGAGTGATGGAATTCCGCCTTGACAGAGCGTTAAGGTCACGTTGTTGCCATCGACTCACACCTGGCGTGGAATATACACAGAGTTCCTGTTGTCTAGCGGTGCTACTGAGCCCCGGTGGGACCGGCCAGCATCCGTCACAAGCTACCGATGTGTATCAGGCGCCTGCTAGTGGAAGGTCTCGTCTTTCCCACATGCGCTACCGCATAAACGTGGGGAGAAATTGTACGTCAGCGCAAAGACAGCGCGTGCAAAGGCGATCAGCTTGGATATCCGTATGGTGACTGACCTTAACCGGCGCGATCATGTGACTCCAGAGAGCTAGGGTGGTGTAAGCCTGCGGAGCTACTCACCGATCGTGGGAGCTTTAAGTAGCCTGTCGCCGGATATAATGCGGAAGGACTCGCTCCGCACGATTCAGCGAGTGGGGCTCCGGCGATATGGCTACATTTTCCCCCGTGCCATCTTTGCTTTAGAATGATCGTGTGAGGATGATTGCGATTTCCCTCCTTATCTGCGCTGTTGCTGTCCTGTATTGACTACCATGTATTGTGGACACATTGCGAACTTTGTATTGTGCTGCCATGTACTGGCGTGGACACCATGTAACCCGGTGAAGAGGGTGCCTGATAAACATATTGTATCTGAATCCATACGGACACCGATCACCCCCTCCCCCCTCCCCCAAGGGCAGCGCCGCGTTACGTCACTGCACCGTCACCCAAGTGAGGCAGGCACACACCAGCCGACTGCGTGCTGCTCGGGTCAGCCCCGCACGTCACCGACTGCCACACGCGGCCCCAGATGAGGCCGGTCCGCCACTGACCGCGTATCGCCCAGGTGCGGCAGGTACAGACGCGCCTCTTCAGCCACGAAGCCCTCGTATAGCTTGCAGGACTCGGCGGCCAGACCGCCGTCCAGGAAGTCCTTGACCTGCGCCTCGGGGGTCTTGTTCGGGTCCGGCGGCTCGCGGCCCAGCAGCTCGAACAGCAGGTCTATCATGGCTTTCTGAGGACGCGGCGAATCGCACGCCGTCAATGCTCGGTCCAGCTGTCGTTGTTGTTGCCATTGGGGCTTTACGTTAAGTTAGTTAAGTCACATTTCAGCGGGCACGAGGTGCAAACACAGCAGCTATATGGCTGCATGGTTGTGCGAAGACACTTGCGAACGAAGTCACGTGGCAATCATCGCCTGCGGTTTTCCTTGAGGCGGTGGCGACGACTCAAGATCATGATAAGTCTCATGCCAGCACCTGCGCCGGCCTTGACCAGGACGGACCTAACAGAGGTGCTGTAAGCTTCCGTTATCGCGTGAGGTGCGCCTCTTACCCCGTCTACTCCCCACGGCCACGCTTTTGCCGGCTAGCACTGACGCCGCTCTCCGCGCCGACCCACCCCGACGGCCCTGCCCATCCCCGGCCGAGCAGCCCGCCGTCGGCACGCACCCTGAGCTCTGGCCGGTCCACCTGCAGCGAGTCGAGCAGGGCGCGGAAGGCGACGCCGTGCTGGGCGCCGAGCAGCAGCAGGCCCGGCCAGGAGCGCAGCACCGAGATCAGCGCCACCTGGGCCGAGCGCACCACCTCCTCGCCGCTGGAGGGACCGCTGAAGCGCGGGTCGCGGCACGTCACCCACTCAGACGGCACGCGGCTCGGGGCAGCTCGCCGTCCGCACCGGCGCCGCGCCAGCCACTCGTCGCAGATGGCCGACAGAGGCACGGCTCAGGGAGGCGCACAACGCGCGGCGGGCCTGCGCTGCGACACATCGCCAGTGTTCAGCCACGCAGCGGCGCGGCCCTCCGCAGCTCCGCGTCGGCCCGACGCGCGTCGACAGCCGGCATCGCAACGACACTCGATATTGCAGTGCGCTGACGAGCAATTCAGCACAGCTTTCAGAATGCCAACTCAGTCAAAAAAGGGGGCGGATAGCTCAAAGTCTGGCCTCAAAGGCATGTTTTACTTACTGCAGTGTATCGCTCAACCAGTTCCTGACGGCACAACAGCCTTACTTCACCTCTCACCCCACCCTGGAACAGGTGGCGCCTTATTGGCTGCAAATGGCGCGCACGCCGGACGAACAGACTCGCCCTCGCAAATGTTCCCAGACAGCTGACATCCCCTCCATCATGCCACCGTAAAACCGATATCGTCTGCTGCCCCCCCCCCCCCCCCCCCTCCCACAGCGATTCAGCGCGTGACCCCCACCACCGGTTCAGCCGGCCAGCAGCGCCGCCGTCTGCCCCGGTGGCAGCAGCAGGTCGACGCCTCCTCACCTCCTGCTGTCGGCCTCGTAGGCGTGGTGTCCGTAGTGCGGGTCGGCCAGCGGCGCCAGCAGCAGACTGAGGTCGGGCCAGCAGGCCGGCGGTCGGCCCAGCAGGCCGAACAGTGACGACAGCACGGCGTCCACCGCCCGCGGCTGGTAGCAGTCCAGCACGCAGCGCAGCAGCACGTGCACGCCGCCGCACGCCGCCAGCAGCTCGCAGTTGCTGATGGCTGCCGACGGGACGGCGGCCGGTTCGGTGAGGCGGCCGCGTGCGGCGCCGCGGCTCACGCGCGTGGCCGGTTTGGGTGCCGTGTTTCCGGCTCAGAACAAAGCCGCCGTCGTGGGAGACGGGCGCATCTAGTCAGTTCATACACCGCTGCGGTGGTCCACAAACCGCGTGGTGTTTTTACTGTACGCCAAGGTTCACAAGCTCAAAAAAGCTACCCCTTCGTGAAGCTGGGGGCTTTCCTTGTATTTACCATCCGTCACGAGAGCAATTGTCTCGATTTGTGCCACCGGTTCACACATGGGTCCCTCGAACCTCCCAAAGGCGCGGACCCACCACCGTCCACCACAGGTCATCACACAAGGCAGGCCGCCACCCATCCCTCCCTCTCCGCCGGTCCGCCCTTCCCCGCCGCCGGGCCGCCGCCGGACCGGCACTACCGTACACAGCTGGGCGAGCGTGGCGACGGTGATCATCCAGAGCTTGTCGCGCTCCAGCGGCCCGTCGGCGGCGATGGCCAGCAGGCAGCGCGCCAGGTCAGCCGTGAAGAGGCGCGGCGCCACGGCCAGCAGCCGGCGCGCCAGCCGCAGCGACTGCACACGCTCCACCGGGTTGTCCAGGATCAGGTCCAGCGAGCGCACCATCAGCACCGGGATCTGTCGGCGGCGGCAACGCCGCGACCAAGTCAGCGGCGTTGGTACAACATTGTGACGGTGCCTGGAGCAACGCTGCCATCCAAGGGCAAAAATGCTCAAGTGTTATGTTGTCTTATGGCTCTTAGCCCTTTTTGCCTTTGGATGGCAGAACAGAGCTTGTAAGCAGCTTGCTTCACGGTCCAGGTGTGACAGAGATTTACTATACAGACAGACGTGGGCAGTTGTCAATAATGAGACATACACCAAGTGATACGGACCAGCGATGCCAGACAGTCCTAGGTGAAATATAGCATGCTTTCACCCGACGTTTCTGACATACTGTAGCCACTGGCGGGAGCCGGGGATTCCAAAACTGCATACATATACAACAGTGCGTCAACAATGCAAGTCCGCCTAGATTCAACAGGCACCTTTACCGCCATCCTCCGGAGCAGCCTTTCGGTAACCTGTTCTAGTTCTAACACATACCTACCATACATGCCTGTCTGCCTCCGCAGCCCTGCCACGAGCCAGGAGCAGTCGGTAACATCGCACCTGAGACCTGATGACAGAGCGGACATCCTCCGGTATCTTGACCAGGTACCGGAGGGCCCGGTAGCCCGCCGCTCGCACCTCCTTCGTCTCGTTCACCAGCGGCACGCGAAGGCTGAGGGGAGTGACGCGTCACGTGAACTGGCAGTGGACGGTGTGACCGGACGCCAACGCTGGCAGTAGACGGTGTGACAGGACGCCAACGCTGGCGGTGGACGGTGTGACAGGACCCCCGCCATACCTGCTGTCCGGGACGGAGGGACAGGCCGCCCGTGCGGCAGGACGCCAACGCTGGCAGTGGACGGTGTGACAGGACGCCAACGCTGGCAGTGGACGGTGTGACAGGACGCCAACGCTGGCAGTGGACGGTGTGACAGGACGCCAACGCTGATAGTGGACGGTGCGACAGGACGCCAACGCTGACAGTGGACGGTGTGACAGGACGCCAACGGTGGACGGTATGACAGGACGCCAACGCTGACAGTGTTATCGCTCGGGGCTGCACATACACTGAGCAGGAACGGTCATTGCACGAGCCTCGAGCAATGTGGGAGTGCTGATTCCTCGCCGCACGGTATCCACGGCGCGGGGTGGCAACACTGAACGAGCCCGAAAAGACATGACTGCACACAACACGACCAGCCTCCATGTCACGCGACACAGCGGAGCTACCGGGCCGGCCAGCATTTGCTAACTTGCGAGGGACAGGCGCACGACAACTCTACGGGAGATGACCGAGCACTGACCAGTAGATGAGCTCCTCGCGCTGAAGGGTCAGGTCTTGGTGCGCGTCCAGCACAGAGAACACCTTGACCAGGGCGTTGAGATAGGCCAGCCTCTGGCCGCGACTGACGCCCTCCCGCTGGCAGGCGCGGCCCACGAACTCCTGGATGTTGGCGCTCGGCGGCCGGCTGAAGTCGATGTTGATGGGCTCCTCATCACTGTCTCGGCGACCTGGCGCAAAATGGGTACGGCACCAGTCAGGGTCACGGGAACAGCTCTGCTGCACACGCACACACGCACACACACACACACACACACACACACACACACACGCACGCACGCACGCACGCACGCACGCACGCACGCACGCACGCACGCACGCACGCACGCACGCACGCACGCACGCACGCACGCACACGCACACCAGGCATAGTCACTACACAACTATTCACACTGTTCTCCATGTGACAGGCTTATATTTTACTTCAATGCAAAAGTGATCTGTCTTTAGTCATTATTCACATCATCCTTTTTGGTCAAGATATGGAGATGACATGTGTTGCATTCCAAATTAATGACGCCTTATTATTCTGTGACCAATGCACTGCATCTCCTTGGTAAATCATGCGTCTTTTGTCCACGCCACTACTGGAAGACCAATCAGCTTTACAAAAATGGGCAGAGTGCCAGCTTTCTGAAGTATTCATATCTAACATGAACAATCTCCTATGGGTAAATAAGACCGCAGTGTGACAAAAGCTGTCATGCCTGTTCATGGTGTGCCATGCTGCCCCACTTGGACCACCCAACCAAAGGTGCCCATGCTCCCTTGCTGGACCTAACCTGACCAGGGTGGGGAGTCAGAGGTAGGGGATGGGGGGGGGGGGGGCTCACTGATCGGCCCAAGCAATACAGGCATCAGGCGATGGCTGCCTGTTTCCTGGAGCACTCCTCAGTGGGAGGCACCCTCTGCCCTATGCATGTCTGAACATTTGATGACTACACAAGCTTGGGTGGCAAGTGGGCTGGGTGGTGCAGGAAAGTGATGTTTGTGTTAGGTCACAGCAGTAAGTATGACCTGATCACCTTTGCTGGTGTAGCTTGTTAAGCTACCATCACAGGACCTGAGGCAACTGGCTGGATTGTGAAACGGTGTTGACATATTTGTCGACACTGATGACCATGATGACCATGCCAGGTATAGATCCACCTATTGTTGCTTGTTTTGGATGGACAAATGTGGTTGTGTGTTTGTAGAAAACTACTTCAGATATGCATGCACTGCCACTACAATATTGTGGGCTGTGGCAGGGTCTTCTTGAACACACTACCTCAGGGATAATACGCCTGCATTCAGCATCACCCCCCCCCCCCCCCATGTATCAGCAAGTTACCATGTGCTTTATAAAAAATGCACATAAGATGAACACAGCTTGAAAACTGCTACAAATTGCAAAGCAAAACTTAAGATTACAATCTATTTTAGACCCAGTCTTTAAAACATGTAGCCCACATGATAAAAGACACAAAAGTGCCACATGATATGGGTGTCCACCATGAGACAGAAATTGCTGTATAAATGGTACCCTGCATGCCTCACATATTTTGGTAACATAAGGAGCCATCCTAACTTATGTAACACATGTGGGGGATGGTTTTAAAGAACATAACATAAGCAGAACAGGGGGCTGGAGGGGGACTTTTTGAACAGCATGTCATGCTCGGGTGTGATTGCAAAGCATGCTACAATCTTTGAAAAATCAAGCATTGACTTGGCATGATGGAACAACAACAAGATGGCATTGACTTTCACTCATGACAAGAAATACACCTGTCATTTGTTTCTCATCTTCAGCTAAAGTCCATGCCTTAAGTGTTGTCTTTTTATGAAACACTTAACAGAGCATATCTAAGGTGAAGGGAGATCTTACCCAGCATAACCAGTGCATAAATTGAGGGGAGCAAGGGCAGAAATGGGATGAAAAGGCTTCACATAATTCATGGATATCTCAAAACGGAGAAGTGTGTATTACCTGAGCTCAGTATTTGAGCACCATTCATCAGCATGCACTTTCTACACCCGTGACAATGTACACTTCAGGCTTCCTGGCTTCCTTTTGGCTGTCCAGGGGTAGCACAAGCAAAAAGCAGGCATGGGATAGGACCTGGTCACAAAAATATATCCATTGCACTGGATGCCTACAGGGTATCTGTGTGCAAAACCTCATGTTTGAGTGTGGATGAAATCTGACAGGGCCAAGTTGTTTGACTTTTTTATCATTTTTGTGTGAAGCTTTTTTACAGCATCTATAACATATCTCTGCAAGATCAAAATTCCTTAAAACATTGGCTCTCTGTATGCTGAACTTTATTGTGACTTTGCACCAAACTTTGCACACTGATAAATGGTCCACATATGTTGAAGTTATTGTGGCTAGCATGAAGTCTCCTTTTGCAGTCTGGGATCTGACCCTAAGAAATCGAAATTTGACAGTGCGCTTACAACACACTGTCAAAATAATGAACCTAAAACACCTTGCATCTCCCCGACTTCACCTGCATTCCACCAATCATCAGCTGGTCATACCACCTCTAACTGTGCTAAATCAAACTCTATTATCCAAACTAGCATTGCTTGCAAACACACATCATGAGCTCATCCATCATGAACATCATAACATAATTCTGCAAACATTATGAGTGCAGTGTGCTACAAATAGCCAATGTTTGTACTCAGACTCCCACACATTGTTCTAACAGCTTAGCCCTGTAATAGTGAAAAAGGACACAAATGAGAACCTTTCTGTCAGAAATTTTGGAATTCGTCATGTAATTTCACAAGCTGAAGTTACCTCCCGCACCACTGTGCACGCGGGGCAAGCCGGCTCCGCAAATCATGTGACGAACAATGCGCTGTTTATAGCATTCAGAACATAAAAAGAGCGTGAAAACATACGGCGCCACATTTGCTCATGAGGTGTCAAGAAATGTGAGCCACTTACGCCGTGTGGTCCTTGGAAGACGGACATTTCTGACCCGACCTCCACTTGCAGCCATCATCACCACGCGTGCTCTCGACGCGGGTGGTCGCGCTTACTCGTGATGTACGCAAGTAGAATGTGGTGGAATGGGACGAATAGGGCGCTGTGACGTTTCGCCGCCACCTTATGACGTCACTGATTTACATGGCTCTTTATTTCGGTAAGCAGGCTGCGCCTGATTTGTGGTAAGGTCGGGGTATCATCCCCGTAAAAAGCCAAATGTTGCTCACGTCAAGGACACATCGATTCATTTGAAGTCATTGGTTAATCAGAACCAGTGTTGGGTCGACTCATCGACGGGAGTAGATACCGGGTTTTCGCAAAATTTATGCCGTTACTTCCTTCATAGAGCTGTAGGTCGTGTAACACAGCTATATGCCATGTAACCCGTCAACAGAAAGTTTCGCATGTGTTTACACAAAGATGATACTTTAACGAATATGGGCACGTTTAAAACGCTGCGCGAGGAATCGCTTTCATAGCGAGGATCTGCTCTGGAAGTTGACCGCACCTTCCGGAATCAAATCAGAGTCTTCTACCAGCTGCTAGCGCTTCCCGAAGCTCGAATCTGTCTCCCTCGTTGTACAACAGAGCCGAAACATAGTTCAGTGCCTCATCCTCATCCACAAGCCCGGCGAGATGCCTGGCACATCTCGCCGGGCTTGGCCACCTGGCAAACAGGCTGACAGCATGGGGTCCTATCTCTCAGGCGCTATTACATCTGTATTACCTCCACGTAGTTATGCTGAACACCGCTGTCCATCACAAGTCAGCACGGATTACTCATGACACACATCGTACGTGCAGTAGACTGCTTGTACCATATCTGGAATCAACCGTAAGCATCTTCCACAAGAACAAAGTATATATCAGAACGACAAGATTGTATTAACTAGTGGAAGAACTCAGGATCAAATACAATGTGCGCACGCTCATCGGAACGTTTCTCAATGTCAACACAATCCGGCGTCCAACAGCCAAACGACATGAGAACGAGCAATTGTGAACAGCTAATCACGTCTGAAAATCCGGACTTCGAGAAAAAGGTCCCGGTAATCCCTTCGGATTCCCACGACGGCCGGGCGGCACCACGGCGCCGACATGCTAAGCTACACGTGCGGGCGAAACACACACGATGGTCGGACGACTCGCATAATCGGAACCACCATTCACAGCGCAGCGCACACACACGCCCGGAGTCCGCCAGCTCCGGCGAGCCAGCGGCAGCCCGCCCGCCGCCAGCTGTCCCCCGGGACCTCGCCCGGGTCAGTCAGCGAATGCTATCTAGACGGCGGCGGTAGCGGGTCGAGGCACGGCCCTCCTGCCGTCCGTCCTAAAGTGCGCGACACCCGGAGGTCGAGGACAGCTCAGTGTGCCGCCCAGCCTCGCCAGGGAGACAAGCCGACACCGGCCGGCCGGCCGTAGGCCCCGTGCCGCACGAGCACTGCAGTCGGCCGACCAGCGGCGGGTAGTCGACACTGGGCGCGTGGCCCCCGCTCTCGTGCGATCGCCTGACTTTGCTCATATCTGGCGCCGCGCCGCGTGGCGCGTGTCACATAACGCAGCGGACCAGATGGTCTAGTGGCAACATCTAATGATCAGTCGATTTTGGCATGACAGAAAATTCACGCGAGTACGTAGCGTCCATTACCGACTGTGCCTGCCCAGTGCTGACAAGATTCCTATCAGTTATCACACGTGGGTTCTCCGATTATTGAGCTCCCAAGCAGCGAACAGCCTGTCCTCGTTCGCACATGACCATGGGCTCAGCTTGAGCCCCCCCCCCCCCCCCCCCGTCATCACGATCAAACACTTCGTCCGCCCGCGCCGCCCTCACCCGACCCAGCACCCTGCCGGTCAGTCAGTCGACCGGTTCAGACGAACGAGCCCGGCGGCCGACCACCCGCCCGCGCCACCCGACACGGGCGGTGACGTCACTGGGATCGAGCGGCGAGCGCGCGCGGCGTGGTCCTCACTGCGCGTCGTCGGCGTCGTTGGCCGCTTCCGGTCGCGACGCGCCGCTTTGCCGGACGCGCACCGCGTTCTCGTCGTCGAAGTTCAGCACCTGTCGACGTCGGAGGCGGCGTGAAAATCCTGCGTCGCTCTGAGGCCGCCGCGCATACGAACGCGGCAGGTCCGCCAGGCTCCAGCCCGCTGTTTACTTAAGCGCAATCAGCGAGCGGCGAGTGTCAGGCGTCAATAACACGTGGCGCGAGTTGGTGGAATCCTATGTCATGGCTCCGCAGCAGGCATGCTCGGGCACACGCCGCCACCAAACGGCTGATGGGCCTGCCACTCAAGTCCAGACCCCGACCACAGTACCGCATCGGGTGGGCACGTACTTGACACATGAGCGCAGTTAGGGTCACTGAACCCTGTCGGCCAACGACAACGAAAAGCATCATTTACGTCTTACGGCGCCCAACCGCGGGTACGAGTTCAGCTACAATGGAGAGATCCCAGGTCATAATAGCCGATGCTATTGGTTCGATGCAAGGGCATGGGTCGGAAACAGTTCAGAGATCACCTGGGCTCCTTTTCAAGCATATAGTACAACCCTTTTGATCGGACGGGTATCAGGGGTCGGACCACACAATAAAGCGGCTTGTGCGTGATCCCGGAACCACCATTGTATCGTGAAAATCCAGGACAGCGACATAATTTGTGGCGAAAGCTGCACGTGCCGTAACGCTCAGGCCGCTCAGTCCTGTCCCCGACTAACCTTTCGCACGGCAGGTGACACTGAACCGCTGCATCTGACCGGGATGGACGCAGGCCATTCCACTCAGGTGCAGATAGCGAGCGCTTGTAAAACGACTCCCACCCACCCATCCACAGGATGTGTACATCCGAAGACAAGCGCCTTGACTCGCTGAACTACCGGGAGGGACCAGCAACTGGTAGTCGGGACCGAAACCCAGCTCCATGATGCAAAAGGGTGCTGCACCTTGCCAATGGCGCAACCATGTTTCTCACATTTAGTAAATGCTTCTACTTTTCGCATTTTCTTGCGTGTTTTGGCGACTATGTAGCGTGTTGTGACATGTGGATTTTAACAGGTGGTCATGGTGCCACGAATCGATTTACTGTGTTTGATCAATCCGTTCGCCGTTCTGCTGCCCATAACCCAACGATGTAATCCAGACCGGCCATCGCTAGCTCTTACACACAAAATGTTACACACAGTTGACACACGAACTGCGTAATCTCGGCGCACTCTTAATAACCAGTCTTAAATCATGAACGCCGCTCGGGGTGACGCCCCGTCATGGCTGCGTATAGTTCAACCCCTGGGAAAAGTATGTTGAATATCTCGAATCTTGAGTACCTTGACTTGCTTGCGTTGATTTATATCAGCGTGCGACGCGCGACAAAACCTGTTGTCAATTCTTGGGATTACGGCTCATTATGACTTTCCCTACAGTTCGTGATATAAGCTCTCGGGTTAACCTGGACAGAGGATACGATGGTGCATCGCCTGACGTCACAGCAAGGCTCGCTCCCATTGGTCGCTGCCCGCGAGTTTAGCCGACTGACCCCGCCCCGCGCAGCGCAGCAATGAGCTCGGCAGTGGGCGGAGTTTAGCTCCGACCCGGCTGGTGCCCCGGCAAGGGTAAGAGACTGGACTAGTCTGGGGGAAACTATCTCATTTGACGTCCGATGTAACAGGAATTTTCTAAAAAAAAAAACGCTGTGGGTTCGTTGTGGTACGCGAAGCACGACAGGACAGAGAGGAAGGGAGGGATGGCTCAGATACACTACCAGGGACGGTCAACATTCGTAACTTACGGGAGGTCATGATAAACAGTGAACCGTGGAAAAACCCTCCTGATGAAACAGAGTCACGTCAAAACACTGAAGGCTTTCCCCCGGCGTGGCCCGCCCGCCATCCCCGGGCTCGCCGCGGACCGCCAGCCGTCCCCGATTCCATTCAGCCCACCTGTCTGAGACTGAGCCGGATGAGCTGCTTGTGCTTGTGGTAGATCTTGAGCGCGCCCTTGACGCAGACGAAGGCGGCGGCACCGAGCAGCGTCCGCTGCAGCCGGGAGGGCACGCTCTCGAACAGGGCGCGGCCGGCCAGCGTGGCCACCGTCGGGAAGAGCAGCGCGCCGCACAACACGCGCGTCGCCGACACCGGGTCGTTGAGCGGCAGCGTGTCGACGTACGGCTGCGCGGGCGACACGAGCGGCGGCGCGGCCGGCATGAGCCGCTTCAGCAGCGGCAGCCGCACGGCGCTGCTGCGCAGGAAGCGCAGCACGGCGTCCTCCCAGCGCACCATCTTGCCCATGATGAGCAGCAGTGGGATGGTGGGCAGGCCGACCAGCAGGAAGATCGGGTCGGCCTGCTCCATCGCCGCCAGGCCGTCCCGGTGACCCACCACCTGCCGGGCACGCGGCAGAGCCGTTCGTCGCTGATGCGGGCGCAGCACCGGCACGCGAAGCACGACAGGGCGGAGAGGAAAGGAGCGAGGGGTTAGATACACCACCAGGGACGGTCAACATTCGTAACTTACGGAAGTTCATGATAAACAGTGAACCGTTAAGAACACGGGGTAATCGTCAGCCAAGTTGAGAACGGTACGTGCAACTACACTTTCATACTTTGCCACATACGGCTGCGCTCATGGCTGCGAGCTTAGGTTTCTCCCTGACATATCGTGTAAGCCTGCCATGCGGCACCGCACGGTAGCCATGTAAATGTTCAACCGAGTGCTCGCGTCTCCCACATGAATAAAGAATGCGACACGGCTGTCTCGTGCTGGGAAGAACATCGCACGCTATGGGTGTCCGCTCGCCAGTTCCTGTGCCACTTACGATCTGAAGTGATTGAATCTGTGTATTGCCTCCGTGTTCTGCGGAAGTCAATGGCACGAATGGTGGCGCCTACAATCAATGCATTTCCCTCCAAACGGCAGCCGCTCCAACAGCGTGACTTGCCAACCGACGGCTGTGCGCGCGACCGCGTGCGGCGTGCCTTGCCGGCTTGAAAGCGACTGCAGGCGCCACTACGCGCGGCGTGACTGCGTGTGGCGTGACTTGCCTGCATGACAGTCACGGCCCCGAAGGTGACGGCCGTCCAGTACACCGAGCCGACCACCACGCCAGCGGCCACGAACGGACACGAGCGGCTGATGAACTCGTCAATCAGGTCCATCACCATGACAACCGGCCCTGAAACGGAACATCGGGCGGATCACGGTATGACATCACAGGAGGCCACGCCTCAGTCACAGCTTGATAAGCGAGGCGCGCTGGCTAATTGACCGACACGCGTACGGATCCGTTCAACTTGGATACAGGATCGTCGTTGTTAAAAATTGTACATGTTCTTACCTGAATTGCTCCCTTTTCCAAATTCATGATGAACAAATCACGTTATGGACAGGTTGCGTACTCACGCATCGCTCCAGTAGCCTCCACAACACCCTTTGCAAAGTGCCACTTCATCGACCTGAGTGTGCACGAATAAGACATCCCATGTGAGCACTCACCCATCTGGGGAAAGAGGATGACATACTCGGTGTTGCACTGTGGACAACGAACTGGCGCCATGGCGTTGCCCTGCTGTTTCTCGTCCACCCACCGCTGCAGGCAGGACTGGTGCACCTGACAGCATGGAAGGTGGACACAGTACTGGCTGTCCTTCCACCACCATGTCGGAAACACCAGAGAAATAGTGCAACAGCTACACAGACTTTGACTGAAAACTGACGGTTCATACAGGACCCAACTGAAAACTGGCCAGTTTACATCTGGCAGGCCCCAATGGGACCCCAGTGGCATGTTTACAACTACTTGGGTGGTGTAGCGTGCCATCGTAGGCTCGATGGTGCGCGGCGGCAGGTCGGGAGGTCGACTTACCCACTTAGTTGTTCCTCGACACCGACAGGGCTTCACCCACAGTGCCATTCGGTCGTCCTCGTCCGATGCAAAGCAGACCCAGCAGTTGCGCCTGAAATACGCATGTCACACACAAGCTCTGTTAAAACCATGAACCGCACAGTGGAAATAATTGACACAGAAACAGATGTTTAACACAAATTTACTTCCGCTTTTTGTTTCAATAAAGGCATGTTGCCAAAACATCACATGTATACCTCCCCTCTCACTCATTTTTCTATGATGAACAAGGCTATAACAACAGCCTTGAGACGGGCTCAAGTCGAGAATGGTCCAACAAACACAAGCTTCTTCTTCCATTTAGCATAATTTGACTGTATTTTATTGTCAAGATTGGGTGGAGGCTGCTCCCTCCTGTCCCCAGCCCTCCCCATCTGCCACTTCAGCAGTGGCATCTACCACTTCTGCCACCAACCTTCCAGCAGTCAGCAGCATGACTTTGTGTTTCACAGAGCAGCCTGATTAAATTTGAGCCAGACCCCTCCAATGCCTTTAGCCAGCTAATGTCCCTGTAACTCGCACATATGTAAGGGTGCCATTTTGACTAAGGCATGTTCTGTATGATAAAAGACAGTCAGCTAGACCTGGTGCCCACTGTCCTCAAATTTTGACACACATCCCATGCAAAATTCTGAAATAGAACCTATGGCAATCAGCTACTGATTTCTGAAGGACATTTGTAAAATGAAGCATTTGCATAGCCCTAGCACAGACTTCAGGCTCCGCATGACTGGCAACCTCAAGACAGTACCACAACTTTGATTGACCCTGACATTTAGAAAAATGGTGTATGTGTACATCTATTTTTATGAGCACATCACAAAGTACTCACTCTGTTATTCTCACAAATCGGTAACACTAGATGCACAGGCAAACTTTTCAGTCCGGGTTTAATTGTCAACTGGAGCCAAACGATTAGGATGTAACCTGGCTGATTCTATAGACTTGATGCCGATGCCATGCTTGGGGTAGACAGAATCCTGCCCCCAACAGAACAGTGCTGTCCCATTTGGGGTAGACTTTATTTGCCTCACTTAGCCCTCCCAAAATGACTTCCCATCATATTTTTTTGTTATAGAATACATAATAGTCATCTTTTTAGTGTAACTCAATAAATTCCACCTTGTTTTAGATAAGCTGCCCCAAATTGGAGGTTATGTTCAGCCTCTGTCCCAATAAGATGCTGTGAAAATCTGCAATGGCTTAAAGACTAGGACATCAACAGGGGCAAATTAAGTTAAACAACAGGACACCTTTAGGCACCAGGCCTATACCATCTGCATAAAACCTCATTCTGTGCCAGACACTCACATGCATCAATTTGTTGAACCTGGAGCATACTTGTACTTAACCTACACCAGCCAAATTGGGACAAATATGTTCAAAATGCCTGTTGTCAAAAGATGTTTTGGGAGTTTTTTGCCCAAAATTGCCCAAGCAGCATCATCAGTAATTGAACATTGGGTCTCAATGCACTGGAGTTAGTGATCAGCATGCAGCAACCTTAGAGCTCTCTATCTATTGTTTGCATGTGCTGATATTTGTGGTGGGATGCCACTGCTTAGATGGATGTTACTATAGCTGATGCCCCCCCCCCCCAATGGCTGTTCTTTGAACAGTCTTATGATTAGCAGCATAATATCCAGCTGTTTGCAGATGGCATAAAGTTTTATTACTCAATTTCATATTCTGTTCTGAATCAGATGTTAGAATCAATCAATACACGCCAACACCAAGCTTGAAATCTGCAAGAACTATGACAGATATGGGATGGTTCCTGCTGCTTCACACAATGTGATGAAACTCTTGTATTTTGTCATATCTTGTATGTATTGCGTCTTTAACATTGCATTATATGGAAACTCACCTGTTTTCTTCATTGTCGGTGCTGCTACTTTTGGATACGTGTCTTGGATGGCCTGTCGTGGCCATCGTCTCGGATAAGACAGAATTGTTATCACGCGGCTGAATGTATCCGTTACAACCCTACGCGCAACGCATCCCGACGGCACTGGACCCCGACCCGACCAAGCTTCGATCATCAACACACACACAAGCGAGAGAGATTGCGATCAGAGATTTCCTATTGTAAAAAGCGAGTCGGTAAGCTAAAAAACCCCAAACGGTTAATGACGTCATTGAGTTTCCGGCCGGGATGTCGGGGACTTCAATATCTTATCGAGTTCTAATCACCCCACCCAATTCTAAACGGCATACGACAAACGCTCCACTCCCTTCCTCAAACAACTCACGTAATATTTTTCTGGATACCTGGACACGCAGATATTCATGGAAAGAATACCGCTGCCTTAAGAAGCAAAACGAAGTCTTATGTTGCCGGAACGTAATCACCTTCATTGCCCCGTTTTTAATTTTCTTACAGTCATCAATTTACATTTACATCTTTTTCTACAATCCGACTGGGATCAACGCGCTCATAGTCACCTTCTCCCAATCAAACCCACACTTCAGTACTGGCCGGCAATTCATCAAGATAAACGCCCCAGGGAAGTGCTGCTCGCCAGACTGTGTTTGGTTCGCACCAAAATTACCCACTTCCACCTTTTCGAGGACACTTCCCCGCCGCTGTGTCATCGTTGCGGCATCCTATTCCCAAGAAATCACTTACTCCTCGTGTGCCCGATATATCAACCATCAAGACAACTACTCATCAATTACACCAACGCTAATCTCCTTCCATTCAACCTCCATTCTCTCCTTGATGACTCTTATCCTGGCTTGCTCGTTTTCCTCTTTGAATTTTTACGCAGTACAGGATTGCATCATTGGGTATAAATAAAGGGATTTCCTGCATAATTTGTCAAATATTACAGTTTCCTTCCCGTATTGGTTAGGACTTCTGGTCTTTCTTAGTTAGGACTTCCCAGTACCAAATGACATCACATAGCGCTACAAGGTCGTGCCGGGCAGCGGAGCCCGAGGCTATTCTCCCCGTTGCTGCGATGAAGCAGCCCGGCATCCATCCATCGCACAGGTCACCGACAAGTCAGCTGAGCCCAAACCACCGCTGTCATAGACACCATACACAGGACTTGATGCAACCCAGGAGCCTGGCGGGAGGGCCGGTGAGGAGGCCCACTTGTTCAAGCGTATTGAATGCATGTTGTGTAGTGGTGAAATAAACGTATCTATTGCTGTGGCTTATTTTACGTACCATGATCATTCTGAACAAAAATGAGCCAGATTAACTTAACGTTACTTCAACCATGCCACCTCCCTTGCCTTGCACCGGACAGCATAAGCTGGTTTAGCGTGATCCTTGTCTGGCCTTAAGCTGGAAGTAATTGCCCCCTCCCCCTAGAAAAAGGCTGTGGGCCGTCGAGGAAAAAAGAAGTTTTGCATTGGCCCACTAAAAAACTGCTTTTCAAGGTGCGAACACGGTTTTGTTTGTTACGTTTGTCCCGAGCGATCGTTCCGGGCATGCGCGCAAGGTCGATCAAAATGGGCGGGTTTTTAAAAACACCGACCCCGTCGGAGTATCGCCACATTCAAACAGGACATGGGCACGTTCAGACAGGCCAGTAACAGTAACAGTCGGCTGTCGGAGGGACATTGCCACGGACGCGGTGATGGGAGACCATATCGGCGTAGCGCGCCGACGGCCGGGCGCTCAGCGTCTGCACCGCTGTGAAATGCAGCCCCGCGGAAGAATTGCCGGTCCTTCAGCGCGATCCCCGGCCTTTTTTTCCTCTTTTTACAAAAATAAAGAAAACGCGTTCTGTGTGTATTTTTGAGATTTTTTTGATGCTTTTTTTCGTGCTCATATTGCATCGCAGTGATTAGCATATCTAAGATACAAATATACCCCTAATGTGTGTTGTCATATGGCGTGCTGACCCCTGCCTGATATTTCTCTATGCGAATAGTCTGTTGGAAACAAACAGGTCAATGAATAATGTGCAGCCTGAATGTTGTGTCACGAGACAGGACGCACCGTAGTCAGGTTCGTGCCTTTGGCCCCAACGTCTTCATGTTACATAGCTGACATACTTCGGACACTTAGGGCGACGGTGAATTTTCCACAAGTACAATGAAGGGATTTTTGTCACCACGGGCTAAATGCGTCATAGATGCTTTGCCTTCTGACTCCTCGCGGGGAGCGATGGAGTAAGTTCTACGCGGTACGTGGTAATTGTCTAGCCGTGTGTCGAAAGGCTCAGTACCGTACAGAGATTAGGGAGTTGGCTGTTAGTCAATCTCTCCGCGACTCACAGATGAGGTGGGGCGCATTTTTGCACGTTGCTGTCCGCTAGTGAGAGTAGCAGTAGCACGTGTAGGGCACCGTTGATGGATTCGCGACTCGCAGAACGTGAGATTCGCTTTTCAGCTGCCTTCTCCCGACTCCCATAATGCGTAAGTCGAAAAGGGCATTGGGCGGTCACAAAAGTTGGTTGATTTTATCCGTTGGTGGATGCGACACCAAGGGGCGTTCGCTAAGGTGGCCACGGTTTACTGACCCTTAGCACTGGCGATGAATTCGGCCGCTGAGTGTATCGTTGTTATAATTATTCCAGCAACTCCAGAAGGCGAGGTTCGCCCGTGTGAGCCGATGAGGGATTCCAGGATGCCGATCTATGATTCCGGCGACAGAGCACTGTGAGCCGATGTGGGAATCCAGGGTGCCGATCTATGATTCCGGAGACAGAGTATTATGAGGCGATTGAGGATTCCAGGCTGCCGATCTATGATTCCGGCGACAAAGTGTTGTGAGCCGATGAGGGGTTTCCAAGGCGCCGGTCTATGATTCCGGCGACAAAGTGTTCGTGAGCCGATGAGGGATTCCAGGCTGCCGATCTATGATTCCGGCGACAAAGTGTTGTGAGCCGATGTGGGTTTCCGGCGAGCCGACGAGCGGCTCCGGCATTATTCAGCAACGATAGAGAGAGAGAGGGAGAGAGAGAGGGAGGGGGGGGGGGGGGCTACGTGGTGATGCCGCGGCGAGCCTTGCACCAGGCGGCTACTATTTACTGGAGCTAAATTGCAAGGCATACGTGATGTATGGCTGTACGGTGCCATTCATAATCTGGGGATCTGATCGTTGCACATAACTTGTAGACTGTTTGTGGCGAACAAACTCATAGGCTTCCTTTAATATGACCGGTGACAAGCATGCATGAGACAGTGTTAATGTATAAATACTTGTGGAATCCCAGTAAAGTGGCGTTTGCTGCCCATGTTAGGACGAAAGCATCTGTTTGGTGAAAGCTCATGTAATGTCGGTGAGTCAATGTTGTCACCACCATTTGCAGTCGCCCCTTTCAGTCGGTTTATGACAGGGAATTGCCTCGATGGTAATTTCCTGCAGGTCAATACAGTGGGCCAACCAGCCAACAGAAGCCATTAACAATGGTATGTAATTAACCCAAACAAATATGATTATTGCCGGTAGACGCATCACTCCCAAGGAGCTCTACTTTCGTGAGGTTGACTATTAGTGAGTACAACTTATATCTCTTGAAGGGCATTCATGACATTATGCATTACACAACATCGTGTGTGGGCACGTAACCTCAAAATCCATACCTGATGGGAACTTGAAGTCATCAGTCAGTCACGGCATTTGCTGCTTTGATGCAAACTGGGCTTTGGGAATGTCGTGATTGTCGTTCTGTGGCGGTCAAAAATCTGCCGGGTGGGCATGACAACTTTGCCAAGAAATGAGGAGCCAATAATCCTAGTCGCGCGGACGGCAAAAATCGAGTCGAAGGAAGTAACGATATAGCTGAAAAGTCACACATCGTCATGCCGGAATCCCTCGTGGGCTCATATGTGCGAAACTCGCTTCTGGAGTCGATGGAATAATCCTAACAACGGTATCCTCAGCGATCGAACTCACTGCTAGTGCTAAGGATCAGTTACTCATGCTCACCTTAACGAACCCTCTTTGGTGGCCACAGGCCAATCCACCGACGGAAAAATCAGCCAACTTTTTCCGACCGCCCAACGCCCTTTTTCGACTTCCGCATTCTGGGAGTCGCAAGAAGGCAGCTGAAAAGCGAATCTCACGTTCTGCGAGTCGCGAATCCACCAACGGTACCCTACACGTGCTACTGCTACTCTCACCAGCGGCCAGCGGCGTCAAAATGCGCCCCAACTCATCTGTGAGTCACGGAGAGATTGACCAACAGCCAGCTCACTAATTTCTGTACGTTACGGGGCCTTTCGACACACGGCTAGACAATTACCTACGTACCGCGTAGGACTTACTCCATCGCTCCCTGCAAGCAGTCATAAGGCAAAGCATCTATGACGCATTCAGCCCGTGGTGACAAGAACCCCTTCACTGCACTCGTGGAAAATTCAGTCGCCCTTAGCTGTACGAATTATATGAGCTATGTAAGATAAAGACATTAACGTCCAAGGCATCGACCTGAGTACAGCACGTTCTCTCTCATGGCACAAAATTCAGGTCGCATATTATTCATCGAGCTGTTTTTTCCCACAGACTGTTCATTGAAACACATAGAGAAATACCAGGCAGGTGTTGGCACGCTATATAACAACACACATTAGGGACATATGAGTACATTAGATATGCTAATAACTACGATACGATGCAAGAACGAAAGGAGTGCGCGACATATAACAGATCTCAATTAATGTGCGAGCACGTAGTCTCAAACAGACCTACAGAACGCCTATTCTTAATTATCTAAAGGGGGAAAAGCCGAGGAACTTACAGAATCGCCGAGGGGTCAGCGATTCCTCCGCCGGGCTCACATTTTGCGGAGGTGTAAGCGCCGAGCGCCCGGCCGTCGGTGCGCCAGGCCGATAGGGCCCCCACCACCTGTCCGTTTCACTATCTTTCCGACTGCCGACTGTTACTGTTCTGTCTGAACGTGTCCATACACCGACGGGGTCGGTGTTTTGATTCGTCCTCTCTTGATCGTCCTGGCACGCCTGTGCGGAACAAGCGCCTGGACCAAACACAACGAACAAAAACCGTACCCGCACGTCGAAAAAGCAGCTTTTTGTGGGCCAATGCGAGGCCTTTTTTTCCTTCGACGGACCCAAGGTCACTGCCGAGGAGAGGGGAAATTACTTCCCGGCATAACGCCAGACAAGAATTACGTTGAATCGACATATGCTGCCCGGCGCAAAGCAAGGGAGAAGGTTTTTTGAGGTGACGTTACGCTAACTTGGCCCTTTTTTTGTCTAGCAAGATCAGCACGTGGCCTGCGGCGGATAGATACACCGCGCGCCATATCTGAAGCTAACCTATGCAGCTCCGTGCCCCGGGATCACAAAAACACACGTCGCAAAAATAATCTACCTGCACTTAAAAAGCCAGCATGTGGCCCTTGGCGGATAAATACGCCGCGCACGATATTACAAAGCGTTGGTAGCGTAATTTGGGTTCAAACATAATTAAAATGGCTATCCTTATTATGTCTGGATGGTGCTGCGGTGGCACTACGCTGTGCCTTAATTGTAGCCCTGAGGCTACACTAAAGCATACTTTCTAAATATTCCTCAAACGTGGAACACTCCCTTCTATAAAGCGATTTCGAATGGTAAAAAAGATATCGGTAGAACGAACCCATGATCTTCAACACATATATCTTCCCATTCTAGTGCTTAAAGCCACTTTCAGCTCTCCTCCGGGCTTCCCATGGACCGGCCACTGAGGCAAACACTTCCGGCCGCGCTCTGGAAGCACGAAGCCTCGCGCACAGTACTGGACTGAGTAGACAGGCTAGCGCTGTGGCGGCGGCTGTAGCTGTAGCTGTACAAAACTCACAAGGTGTACGGGGCATTGAAACGACTCTTGGGACGCTTAAGCATGCGCTTTGTTGTTCCCCGGAAAGGTTTGTTTCCAGTGGGAATACCGACAGCTAACATTAGTCCGACATCTGCCAACATCACTGGATCTGGTCAAACACGCACCAACGCATCTTGGTTACGTTGGAATCGTGTTTGTCATACTTACGTTCCTCATGTCAGCTTTGACTGAACCGTGGTCGGGACGCATTTTGCGTGGTATGCATGTATGTTGCGCGTGTATCAGAAACGCCGCTTTACATTTTGCGGCATTGCTAGAATTTCTACCGCCAGTTTATAAAAGCATTGTCAAAAACGTGGGCCGTGCAAATGCATCGCCAAAACGTTTACAACAGATTGCTTGGACTTGGGGGAGCTGGAGTAATATTTTACATACATGCTGCACGTCATAAATTGATGCCGATCGTCTTGAGAAATAAGAGAAAAGAAACAGAAGGAAATAACCAGGCCAATAAATAGGAGCACTTCGGCCAAGTAAATCCCAGCCGACGCTGTTGCACTGCGGAAATACGCTGAACTCTAGATGCAGATTCCCAGAAAACTCCATGAATTTAATTACAAAAGCGTTAGCCACGTTAGAGGCCGGGTACAAAACCAGCATCACCCTGACATTCTGGCCCTGAAACCTCAGAATCACCCAGCCCCGGCCATCGTAGATTACGACAAATCCCTTTCAACAGCCGGAAAACTAATCTAATGTGCTTCTTATACCCCGAACGTCAAACTCCTGGCTGCGCTCAAGTGAGTGTGGATGATGATGATGATTTGGGGTTTTAGGGCGCATCGACTGCTGAAGGTCATGCAGCGCCCATCAAGTGAGTGTGGAAACGTCCACAACATTCCCACCTCATCTTAAACGCTTCGACAGCCCGGTCATACAGCGTAACCCGCACACAACTGGCAATACAGGGATAATGTATTCATTTAAATATTCAAATCACACGCGGGCGGCTGATATCCAAATTAACAACAAAGCACTGATTTGGCCCGCACTTCTCACACCGCTGCTACACGCGACGCGCGCAGTCCGCCAGCTCCCCGTCTTTGCCGCGGCCACACCCCGCCCGGCGCGGAACCGAGATGGAATGGCGTCTCACGCGCGCGACAGAGAACCGCTACAAATCGTAAGAAAAGGAATTCGCGTGTGAGCTTATCATGGCGCGCAGCGGCGCCGGTCTCTCCTCAGCAGAGGTGCTGGTCTCGCGAGCGGCCCAGCTCACGACATGGTGCCGAACACCGGGTTGTGCCGGCAGATGCTGGGTCCGTACTCCTCGTACTGCGCCTTGGTGTGGCACACCTGGTAGAACTCCGGCTGCGGACGGGCCGGCGCCGGTCAGCGACAGGTCAACACAGACCGCCGGCTGCGTCAGCGGAAACAAGCTGTCCGGGGAACCCACCGCGGCTCCCACAACCCTGACGCCAGTGGCCGGACAAACCACCGTGCTAGCTAGCCGCCAAATCCAATGCAATTTCAAGCGATGAGGCTTAAAGGTGCGATGCAAGACGCGACAGCGATCACATTTTGCCCTGACATTTCGACTCAAGAACCTCTAAAAGTCGCACAACCCAAGAAGGCAACTCACCACCTTCTCCCCATCAGATCACTCGCTTCAAGCGTGTAATGAATTTCGCAAAATACTCCGGCTCACTGGCGCAACACACAACATCCAGCACCACAAACACTAATTAATGTGTGCGTCCAGCGCCACCTAGCCGACCATCGGCGGCCTGTGGCGGTGGCGCCCCAGGGCGGACGCCAGCGCCCAGTGCCGGCGGCGACAGGACCCACCGTTGAGGCAAGCATGCTGCCGCCGAACCAGACGGCGTAGCGCTGCATGTGGTGCGAGATCACCTGCACGTCCATCGGCTTCGGCTGTAACAGCGACCGCCGCGGTCAGTCAGCGCCGGCTCACGCTGCCAGCGACGGCGCAGGCCTCCGCTCGGCAGGAGCGAAGGCGGCACGCGTCGATCCAGAATGCATTTCGGGTCGTAGCTGCATCAGTTCACTGACGTCATGTGCCGCCGCGCTGACCGTGCTCAAACCCTCACTGCACCCGGCCCTGCTCACGCCCCAGTAACATCGACGCGTCCCTGCCCACACCCCACTGACATTGACAAGTCCCTGCCCACACCCCACTGACATCGACGCGTCCCTGTCCACACCCCAATGACACCAACGCGTCCCTGCCCACACCCCACTGACATTGACAAGCCCTGCCCCACACTCCACTGGCAGCGACGCGTCCCTGCCCACACCCCACTGACATTGACAAGTCCCTGCCCAAACCCCACTGACATTAACAAGTCCCTGCCCACACCCCACTGGCAGCGACGCGTCCCTGCCCACACCCCACTGACATTGACGCGTCCCTGCCCACACCCGACTGACATCGAAGCGTCCTGCCCACAACCCACTGACAGCGACGCGTCCCTGCCCACACCCCAATGACAGCGACACGTCCTTGCCCACAACCCACTGACATCGACGCGTCCCTGTCCACACCCCAATGACATCGACGCGTCCCTGCCCACACCCCACTGACAGCGACGCGCCCCCGCCTATATCCCACTGACAGCGACGCATCCCCGCCCACACCCGACTGCCTGTACCGCCCGCCCCGCTGCAGCGGCGGCCACTGACCGTGATGCGTCCCTGGCTGAGCGCCTCGCTGCGCTTGAGGCGTACGTCCACCTGGCGCTTCACGTCACGCTGCAGGCGGCGGCTGAAGTCGCGGAACATGGTGCTGCCGCCCGAGAGCACGATGTTCTTGTACAGCGGCCGGCGCACGTCAATCGGGCAGCTCTGGATCACGTTGTCCACGATCTCCGAGATCGGCGTGGTGAAGTCCGGGTTGGCGAACTGGCCGGCCGAGGCGAGACGGCGCGCGTGAGGTCGGACCGCGGCGCCGGAGCCACGCATGGAGCGCGCGCCGGACAGGGCACAGAGCACGCGCTGGACAGGGCACAGAGCACGCGCCGGACAGGGCACGGAGCACGCGCCGGACAGGGCACAGAGCACGCGCCGGACAGGGCACGGAGCACGCGCTGGACGGGGCACGGAGCGCGCGCTGAACAGGGCACAGAGCACGCGCTGGACAGGGCACAGAGCATGCGCTGAACAGGGCACAGAGCACGCGCTGGACAGAGCACGGAGCACGCGCTGAACAGGGCACAGAGCACGCGCTGAACAGGGCAGGTGACGCACGGCCGGCACGACAGGGCGCCGAGCTGGCCAGTCGGGCCTCGCGTATCGCGTGGGGCTGGGAGGCATTCATGTAATCCGGACATGCAAGTTCATCCAACCAGCAATAATACGAAATGCGTCCAAAGCGAACTCCACTCCACAACCAAACACGGGAGTGACTGCGCCACAGATGCGCCCACACCACACCTCGGCACCGGTGTCCGTCCGACCGGCTGGCTGGACTGCCGCGGGTTCCGACAGTGACGGCGCTCCCCTCCCCTCCCCCGCCGCCCGTGGCACAGCCTACCTCCGGGTGGAAGAAGATCTCGGGCCCCAGGAAGCGCTCGTAGCCGACGTCCACCTCGAACGGCTGCTTGGTCACCGAGTTGACGCCCTGGTACTGCCGGATCCACTTAGACGGGTCAGAGTCGTACTTGGCGAACTCTTTTGCGAATGTCTGGACATATGTAGGAGTACCTGAAATAGGTTTGGAGGCTCACGCGCTGCTCACAGAATCGGGCTTTGACGATGGGGCACTCACTGAACGTCCCACAGGAGCACTACTGCGAACATGGTAAAACATTCGCAACGAGCAACATTCTTCATTCACGGCACCTTCCTGCTAGGTAACGTACAGATCACGAGAAAACAACAGCAGTCACGGACAGCCGCAGCCACAGGCACTGTACAACTGTACTGAACTGTTTCAGGATCCGAAAATTACCGCAACGACACGCGTTCAGTACACGAGCAGCGTTTTGGGCGAACAGTGACCTCACAAGTCGACGCGCCCTAACATCTCCAATCATCACCACACGAGCAGCGTATCGTGCGGCCACATCAGCACCCCGCCACGGCCGAGCGCACGCTGCCAGAGTCCAGCCGTAGTCGCAGTGGTAGGTCTTCGATAGCAGCCAGCACCAGACAGTGAGCCAGGACCACCGAATACAAGCTCAGGTGAGCTCGCCGCTGGACCAATCGAAACGATCGCCGCGATGGTGGCCGTTTTAGACGGCCGCTCCGTCGGCTACTTCTTTCCCACGGATTCGCAGTAATTAGCCTCTAAAAACTTCTTGGAACCATACATATGACGGAGAATTGTCTTCAAACACGATTTCCTGCCTGCTAAAGTTGTTTGGTTCGTTGCCCATGTCAACACGTGATTTCGAATCGATGAGACAACTGCCATCGACGGCGTTTCACAACGATGAACCCAGCACCGAGCAAGAACATCGTACATCTAGTTGGTGCACCAGGCCATCCCACTGCAGCATGCCGGCACTCGTGTGTGCTGGGACAGCTGGTCACGCTCCACTGCCGGGCCCTGTGTGCACGTGCGGCCGGCAGACGGCGGCCGGCCGCGGCGGTAGGACCGGGGCGGGCGCGCCCCGGTCCTGCCGCCGCGCCGTATCGGGGCCCTTCCTGCCCGGCCACACCACATCCGGCCCGCTCCGGGTGCTCAGGGAGGGCAGACCGCCTCACACCACACCGCTCCCGGTATCGGGCGGCACTGAACAGAGACGACCCGGCCGGCCGGCCACCTCTTAGACGGCCACCGGTCCGCGGTACCGTCATGCAGCACGGCACCGCTGGCGGCGCTACAAAAGCAAGACCCTGACGGGTACAAAGAAGCTCTGGCTAATGATGCCCAGCTGAAGCCAATCTTCCAGTTACATACAATGAAGACGTACTCGGACAAATACAACAAATTCTGTACAAGTATAACTGAATGGCCAGCATGCAAATACATAGCTGTCTGAAGAAGCAGCCAGTATACCTGCAAACACTACAATGATCATATGCGACCACCTAAAAGGCAAGTTACCAATCAATATGCAGTGCTCAAAACACCAATTACTACAGCCAGAGTAGAACATGTCAATCAAGCATTACGTCACATGTTGTGGGCAGGACTGCCGCGTCCGTGTCGTTGCACAGGCACACCAAGAAGATTGAGAAACCCAAAGAAACTGAGCCTTGGCTGACCAACTAATCAGATCGCTAATACAACCACACAAACTATACAACAATGAATGGTACTGCACTAGTGAGTCATAACACCCTGTCCTTAATCTGTCGATAAGCTAGCCACTGCAGCCACAGTTGGCACTACGTTCAGAGCCCGCCAGTTTGTTATGACACCCTGGTATTCATATGTCTTTCAGGGCACCGACAACTGTCACTACAATGGGCGCAAGTCGCATTTGGCATAATTACACTGCATCACCTTGAATCATGCACGGTTAAAACGGCATGTGAGCAGCATTTGATGACTCAGAACAGCACACGAGTTCAAAAGGCCCGCCCCGCACCACCCAAAACAGAAGCGCCGTCGCCCGCTACGCGAGCCCGTCGCGCCCGGCCGCGGCGCCGCTGCGTCGCTCACCTCTCCTTGATGGCCTTGGCCGTCTCGAGCGACTGCTCGGGCGGCACGCCCACCTCACGCTCGCGCAGCAGCGACTGGATGAAGTAGGTGATGTTGCGGCCAGCGATCGGGATATGCTTGATGCAGCTGCCGATCACGTACCCCTCCGCCTGCGCCCGGTCAAGGTCGGGTCAAGGTCGGGTCGAGTGGGCCACCGAGCCCCACCAAGCCACCCGAGCCAGCCACACCACCCACCAGTCGCCACAGCCCCAATCCGGCGGCACAGGGCCACCGATAACTACACAGCTCCCCTGAATAACTCGACCCCTATCACATGTACAGGTCCATCACGGCGGAGAGCACCAGTCACTGCCCGGAAGGCAACGCCGGACCACACCTATAGCTGATAGGCGATATAGGCGATAGATGCCCATCGGCGCGTGGCAGTGGTCGAGCCGCGCCAACCGACTCACCACGGGGATGACGTGGGTGACGCCGTCGCCGCTGTCGATGACGGTGCCTGTCAGGGTGCGGTCGCCCACCTGCCGGCTCGTCCAGGAGGCGGCCAGCGCCAGCACCGCCTGCACCGCGATGTACAGGCCCGGCACGTTGAACGATTCGAACATGATCTCTGCCGGCGGCGGGCGGCAGTCAGGCGTGCGGACGGTCACGGCACGTGGCGGACGGTCATGGCACGCGGCAGACCGTCAGCACACCGGGCACGCCGGAAGGCAGCGTGATTTCAAGACACATTGCCACTCTCAGGTCGGGTTGGGTTGGGTTTTGATCACGACAGATACAGTGCATTGCACGCATGATATTTCACGGCAGTAAGTTGACACCACGTGAATAATACACGGGTGTTGTTCTTATTTTTGTGTGCGTGCATATTGATGCCACAGAATGCTTGCTGATCAAAAATGAGTGGGATCAGGCCGGGCAAAACAGCTTTCTAATTTTACCTGATTGTTAGACCAATCGGTGCAATTTTACCTAACTGTTGGACCAATCAGAAATCTTTGTTGGTTGGGGATGCGCATCTGCCGTGTGCTCGCGGTTCTCGGGCGGGTTGGGGATACACACCTGCCATGTATTTGCGGTTCTCGGGCGGGCCGAGGAGGCGCACCTGCCGCGTACTCGCGGTTCTTGGGCAGGTCGGGGAGGCGCACCTGCCGTGTACTCGCGGTTCTCGGGCGGGTTGGAGATGCACACCTACCGTGCACTCGCAGTTCTCGGGCGGGCCGAGGAGACGCACCTACCGTGTACTCGCGGCTCCAGGGTGGGTTGGGGAGGCGCACCTGCCGTGTTCTCGCGGTTTTCGGGCGGGATGGGGATGGGCACCTGCCATGTACTCGTGGTTCTCGGGCGGGCCGAAGAGGCGTACCTGCCGTGTACTCACGGTTCTCGGGCGGGTTGGGGGGGGGGGGGGGGCGCACCTGCCGTGTACTCGCGGTTCTCGGGCGGGTTGAGCGGCGGCTCCGTCAGCAGGAAGTAATGGTCTTCCGGCTCGGCACGCAGGTACTTGAAGATGGACTGCTCCCAGAAGCGCTCCATCAGGTCCCAATCCTCGATGATGCCGTGGCGGACCGGGTACTGCCAGACGGACCCGCGCACAGGTCAATATCGGTAGGCAGGGTACACAGCGCGGCGTATGCCAGAACAGCGGGGCAGCGGGGGCAGCCACCAGCACCAACAGCCACTCAACTGACCAACAGAAAAGGCCACAGATGCCTGCAAAAGCCACGTGCTGCGTTTACGATCACGAAACGCGAAATTGTTTCGCCTTTATAGGGAACACTTGGTGAAATAGCCCGAGCGCGACCGACCGGCCGTTCAGACGCGGCATCTGCGGCGGACGCCGAGATGGACGGACGGGTCCCATCTGGCCGAACCGACCCCGGCGCGCCCGGCGGCCCGGCGGCCCGGCGGCCCATCGGCGTCGGACCGCCGCCGCCGCCGCCGCTGACCCGCGTGGCGGCGCACCTTGACGGCGTAGCCGGTGGCGTCGAACGCCTCGTCGCCGATGAAGAAGTCGAGGTCCTCGACACCCTTGCCGAGCCGGCGCGCCGCCTGGTCGCCGATGCGCGCCGACTCGCGAATGGCGATCGCCGACGGCATGATGAACTGCGGCTCCTTGTTGCCGGCGAAGCCCAGCTTTGTGTACCTGCCGCAGACGACCGAAGCACGAGCCGTCACCGGCCTGACAGACGGACTGCACAGGGCCGGCACGGTGAACAGTTTCGTCGTCGTTCGTCCTCAATCTGGGGAATGGCTGTTTATGTGCAGAAAAATGCTCCACACATGTCTCTGTTGGCACGGAGTGGTACTCAGGGTGTATAAAAATATTAACAAACTTTTGTGACTGTTAGGGTCACATTGTATGTGGCTGTGAAAGCATTCAATGTTTCAAAATATGATGCATATCATGACTTTGAGGGCAGAGTCTTCTGAACATGGTGTATTGGAGGTCATTTACCCACAGTAACCAACTTTGGATGCACCCAAGGAATGAATCATAAGCAATCCTCATTATTATCATATTGCTTCACTGCCATTTAAATATGTTCTTACATAGAACTATAGAACAGCTGTCCTGTGTCTGGTGCACACAGAGTGATCCCTGAACTGGATTGAAGAATGTGAATGAAGTCATATGCTCCAGGGAAATTCAGATGATCCCTAGAGAAAGCTTGATACACATGCTATTTTCACTCCTCCAGCACCAACTGCTGCTAGCTGACGGCTTTAACTAATGCCAGAGTAATCACTGCATGTTCTACTAGCCTCAACATCTATACAATATTGTGGCTCCCCTATGCTTCATGTAGAATTAAAGAAGTACAAATGCATGCCAATGTGATCAGTGTTCTCTTTACAAGAGGATTTCCAATCATTTGTAGCTGATATTTGGTTCTTCACGAGACAATTCTTGAACAATTTTGCTTACATAAAATAATGAAAACCATTTGGTAATGGGCTTTACAATGCAATGTTGGAGCACAATTTTACCCCACAATGAATAACACATTATAAAAAAGAATCACTGATGTATCAAAGCACTTAGTCAATATGCTATCCTTAATACTATTTCAAATTCTGGATTTTCTTGTAGGCTTATTGATCATTTTACCTATATAGGATCATTTCCAACTTGAAAGCCTCCAAGCTTTCAGTGCTTGTTGCAGACAAGTGTGTGTTGGCAGGCTGAGTGCCTCCTGCTGCATGCAGCCAGGTGGCTTGAGCAAGTCAAACTACTTGTAATAACTATATGCCAAGTGGACTTAAAACTATTGCCAATGTTGTGGATCTGACTGGAACTAACATTGACATGATTACACTATTCAACACAAGATAGGCTTCATGAAACATGCTAGATGATCTCCCTGCAAATTAGCTCATAGCTACAAACACTGAAATGACCCTTGCTGATTGAAGAATCATCAAGAATGCCTGATCATATTCATGCTAACTAGAGCTGGTAATATGAACCCTGGCCCCACTTTCTGATGATAAAAGCAGAATTTTGTGGCAAAATTTTAACATGCCACAGCACTGACAAGGCCTATCCTGCACCTGAAACATATCTCATATCACCAGCCACAAGTTGGAGGCAAACATTTCAGTGTGTGCACACTGTTAATGAAGCATCAGAATGTAGTGCACAGTCACCACCCATTTCAACACAGAGAGTCAATGTTTCATAGAAGCATGACGTAGCAAACATAATTTCAGACAAAGATACTCTACCAAAAATTGCTTGCAAAAATGATTCAAACTTAAGCACTGTCTAACCTGGTCTGAATTTGTTGCAAGGAAGCAAAGGCTTTAGTGCACAGGCTTCTAGCACAGTGGATGTATTTTTTGGACTGGTGTGCTGGCAGAGAGGTGGACAGGACTCTGAACTGAGTACGCCATGGGGGCAGAGAGCCTAATAAAGGATATCCTTAACAAAAGTGATAGCTGGTACTTATCTAAGTGCTATCAGGGAGACCAATGACACTGACATATAACATACTTCTGTTGCTTCCCAGCCTTGGACAAGTGTAGAGCATGCAGCAAATTAAGCAATAATGTTCCTCATAGCACCACATTAAAGAATAAAAAGAATATAGAGCAAATGGCACAATCTGAAAAACTACCATGAGTCCAGTAGTGTTGTTTATTAGCCCCAGATCTTAGTTTGTCCCTCTCCATATTCTTGATGAAACATAACATGCAATGAGAAAAAGTAAGCATTGCACAGTGCTTGTCATTTCATTTTTGGTACTGCTTGCCTCCCATAATAAGACGCTGAAATAGAAACCTACAAGACAAGTGATACAGCCAAAATGATGTGGGTAAAATCCTCTGAAACACATTTCAGGGTGGTCAAGTTCTCAAGCTCTTTGCTCACTCTCCCCTGCCCCAATAACTTGCAGTATTCGACGCCCCCGCCAACGATAGTAAGCTGAAATGACACAAGAAAATAAAGGGCCAGGTAGTTAATTTGCGATAGTTGGCTCTCCTCACCCGGTTCCATTGTCGATCACGCAAGCTGGGAGACGACCAGTCATGATTGCAGCGGGACAGGTTTCTAAAAGACGTTACAAAACTTAACAACAAGGACTGCCCAAGTTGCAAGAGACCCTAGTTCCAGCAGATGAAAACGTATGCATAAATACTCGCTAAACGCCCTCTCACGCACAACCGCACAGGTTCACACCGGACGGGTGCGGCCAGGCGAGGAGTGCCGGATGCCCACAAACAAATCCAACGTCAAAAGTGGCGCACCGGTGATTCATTTATGTATCAGGCCTAAAAACTCATGCAGCTAAATATATTGTGTATTTTGAAACACCCGATGTGGCTTGCTAGCTCGTTCAGGAATTATGGCTGAAACCGGAAATACGTCGACCTTGAGGAGGCCAGAAACAGAACTTCCTTGATCCTCCACGTTCTTTCGAATCTGCCAGATCGTAAATCCCGATGACTCAGTTAGTTAGAGCGCCTGCCATCCGATTAGTGACAGATAGAGGAGAGGCCGCGTTGGGGGGGGGGGGGGGGGGGGAGGGGGAGGACGGGGCAAAGAAACATGCCCACTCCTTCGACCCGGATGTAGTCCACAGTAGGCTCAAAAGGGGCCCATAGCCAGGCAAACAAACGTAGTTCCTTCACACAAAAGGTAACAAAATTTGGCGTCTTCAGCCATAAGCATGCAGGCAACCACAAGCAATCGAAAACGGCAGTGAAGGGCCCGCGAGCAAATATATTTATTCGCTGATTAAAGGGAGTATTCCACATTTGTAGCGAGTTTTGAGCTGAAATAGCCATTTTGCAAACCACTCGGTATAGCTCATAATCTTGGAGAAGATGGCTGGCGAACTAAGCAAATCGACACGTATGTTGTGCCAATGCTACACCTGGTTTTCGGTACTTCATTTTTGAATGGAGAGCCCACCGCTCTTTTCGGGGGCCCTGTCTGTCAACCTGCTCTGGGGCACTCGATTATTCCGGGCCCTCTACATCGTGTCGTGGGTATTTCATATTTGAACGGAAGGCCCTACGCTGTTGCCGGGACCCCATCTGTTAACCTGTTCGGGCACACTCGAATATCCGGGGCCCTTGCGCATTGTGTCTTGGGTACTTCCTATCTGAATGAAGGACCCTGCGCACTTGTCCGAGACCCCATCTGTTCGCCACTTCAGCCACACTAGACTGTTCGTGGCCTATTTATTGGGTCATGGTGTTTGAATTTAGGGCCTTACACTTCTGTTTGGGGCATCTGATAATCTGCTTTGGTATACTTCATCCTTCGGGGTCTCTCCGCACTGGGTTTTGGCTACTTCTTATTTTAATGGATGACCCTACGCTCTTGTCAGGCCCCTTCTGATAAGCTGTTCGGGCACATTCGATCATTCTGGGGCTATCGACATGGGGTCTTCGGTGCTTCCCATTCGAATGGAGGGCCCTACGCTCCTGTTTGGAGTCCTATTTGTTAACCTGCTCGGGCATACTCGATCATTCGGGGGCCCTCTACATTCAGTCTTAGGTACTTCCTATTTGCATGGACGGCCCTACGCTCTTGACGGGGGTCCTATATGTTAACCTGCTCTGACGCACTGGATTATTCGGGGGTCCTCTGCATTGGGTCTTAAATACTTCCGATTTGGATGGAAGGCCCCACGCTTTTTTGGGAACCTTATCTGTTAACCTGCTCGGGCACATTCGATCATCCGGGGGCCTTCTACAATGGGTCTTGGGCACTTCCTATTGGAAAGGAGGGCCTTACACTCTTGACGGGTACCCTATATGTTAACCTGTTTGGACGCACTTGATCGTTCAGAGCCCTACACATTGCGTCGTGAGTATTTTTTAGTTGAATGGATGACCTTATGTTCTTGGCGGGCCCCCTCTGTTCAGCTGCTCGGGCCGGTGCGAATGCAGAGGGGGGAGGGGGAGGAGGGATGAGAACATCCCCATGGACCATGCCGAGGGTACCTAAAGGCTGCGAAGGGGCCCATAACCGGCCAGACGGACGTAGTTTTCTGACAAAAACACAAACAATTGGATGCCTTTGGGCCTACAGACGATCAAGAAGCATTGCTAGCAAAAGTAGAGGGTTCATAAGTAAGCGAAGTCCATTCTTCGCTAATTGAGAAAATGCTGCTTGGGGGAAATTTCGGAGCTCATTACGCTGTCTAGAGGCATTACGATGTTGGTTGCCTGGCCCTATATGTCCACTTGTCGGGGCGATCTGATCGCTTAGGAGCTTTCCACGTTGCCCTTGATCTTTTTGCATTTTCTCGTAGCGCTCAATGTGCTGTTGGGACGCTATCTGCCTCCATGCCTGAGCACCGTTAATTGATCGGGTTTTCCTCCACGGACTCTTCCCATTCCCCCAAAAGGCCCTGTACACTTTTCCCGGCTCCCATATGCCAGGGTGCACTCAGTTGCTCAGGGGCCCTTCATATAAGTCCCGGGTTCTTTCCACTTGCTTGGAGGGCCTTGTGCTGCTGCTGGGGCTCTTGTAAGGTAAGGCACGGAGACGCTTGATGCTTAGGGGCCCTCTACTTTGATCAAGGGCTCTCTTCCTTTGGTCTCACTTGCGGAAGACTTCATTCCTATCGAGGGTCGTGTTGTTTACCTGCCCGTGCACTCTTGATTGCACAGGGGTATTAATTCATGGTCTTGGATAATTCCCCTTTGCTCGGAGGACCCCGTGTTATAGCCGGGACCTTATATGTGAACCTGCCGAGGCACTACCGGTCGTTTCGGGGCCCACAACATTGGTCTCCACTCACCAACGGAGCAATTCGTGTTCATGATCTTAAATACGTGACAAAATTGAGCGAGAGGGATTGATACCATCCCAACAGAGCTATTAGCAAGAAATAAAAAAAAGAAAGAGAATGACACAGCAACTCCGCCACCGCGAAATTCAACAAGCTTCTTGATGTCGCGAAATGCAAGTGCAAGCCTCAGCGCAGCTTTCCATGCCCAGCTGCCTGCACAGTGTATCAGGAGGAGGTTGCCACGAAGGACCAGTGCAGGCACCGGAAGCTTACCATGGGGTCATTTGACCGGGATACGATTGCAACTAGGGAGGCTCGCGAGATGTGGAGGATGGCCAGACAACTTCAGGGGCGTCGTGGCTCGGCCGCCAGTGAGGCGGCGTCTGCTGTTGAACCTGAGTCGCCTTCCCCGCAGCCTGCTGAGCCCACGCCGCATGCTGAGCCCGCGCCGCCTGCTGAGCCGGCGCTGGCTGCTAGTGCTGACCCTGAGCCTGCTCCGGGACCAAGTGGTTTCCGCGCTGGCGAGCCAGCCGAGAGCACGGATTCTTACACGGCTCCGTACATGGTAGAAGGTGGCGGCGACACTGATTGTTCGTTCCGGTTGAGACCAGCGTCATTGTAGACTATAACGTTAACGATCTGACTAACACCGCCCTGGCGGTTGACAGCTACAGTGGCTCGAACCAGGTCGGTGCTGCTATCATCAATGCCTTTCAACAAGACAGCAGAGAGGTCTGGCTACTAGAAATCACAAATCGTAGATCCTAAGGAGACCTACTGCGCAAGAGACAGCGAGAATGGGGACGGCTCGTTAAAATTTTGAAGCAGTCCAACAGCCAGGTTTGACCATCCTCTACTCCGACGGCCGTGAAGGCAGGAGCTACATGGGCCACACGGAGCCCGACGAATGCCGTCGAAAGACACGTGGCTCTCATCGCTGAGCCAGGCAGCCGCTACGTGACTCATCTTACGTCCGAGTTCGGCCGCACCCTGCACTTGTTCAACGAGCTACGCTCCGTGAGACCACAGTGCGACGGTCACATCAATGTTCTCAGCTGCGATGGCACGGCCGTCGACACCGAAACGATAGGCGACGTATTCCGGCTGTTTGAGCTGGCCATCGAATCAACCGTACACTGGCTCATCTGCCAGCTGCGTGGCAATGAACTGAACCCCCTCCATCTGCTGCTGGGCTTGGACGGCACGACAACGGGATCAAAATTTTTCTGAACCCATCAGCAAGACCTGCGCCGGAGAGGTCTGGGAGAGGGGCGTTGTGGCATTCAATCCTAGGTTGGGGCACGTGCCAAACCTGCCGGTCTGGGGCACCTGATTCAGCAGCTGAGCACCAACCAGCAGCTGCTGTACCCTCTGGCCTCCGGCGTTCAAAACGACTCTGTCCGAATCGCGGCAGCCCAGCGGCGAATCGGACCATCGAACCATGCCAGGTAAATATGAAAATGCATGATCTTCGAATTTATAGCAATCAGTGTTTAAGTTCATCAAGTACCAATTTATATTCCATGTGCTCACTGTTGAGCATTTACTCATCATCACACCTTGTTCCGTAGTATGTTGCATCATTTCCTGGTTGGTTCATGCTCACTAGCATATTTGTTGATATGTATTCCGTCACATTTAAGGACTCTGGATATCGGCATAATTACATACAGTAAATAGGCGAATAATTCTTGCATGATCTAACGCTCAGTTCGTAGCCAATTGTTCTAAAATACTCGCTTTTGTTTTCAGATGAATGACACTGGCTGCTCGCCTCTAGTTCACATCTCTACCGAGACTTCCAGCAGCGCTCGCAAGAACCTCGTCCAGTGCGTGTTCGGCCACTATGTGTCGGTATGATCCGCCATCCGGCAAAACAGCGGCTGCGACTTGAGCTTACGCAGCTTGTTCCGGAGCATCGCGCTGCTTCGCGACTTGACGCAGCATACATAGGCTACGGTGCAGCCCCCCCCCCCCGTGAGGCACTATCTTTCCGTGGTGGGGGGGGGGGATTGTGTGCCCCAATGATCTTGCGGGCGGTTGGGGAGGCTTGTAAAGCGCCCCTTCCGGCCAAAGAGGGAGGGGGGGGGGGGGCAGACGAAACGTGCCTCCCGCAAGGGCTCTGACTCGTTCAGAGTAGGGATTAGCAACCCCTCGGCCCCAGCTTTCTGTCTTATCTTTCTGTCTTATCAGTCTTATCTGGGTCTCGCCGTACCCCGTTGGATCCGCACGTAGCGATGAAGGGATCCTGGTCACTGAGGGAGTTGCCCTGCGGGTCAGTCGGGGCAGCTTACCAACACGTGGCTTTGGCCCGAATTTGTGATACTGCGGATGCCTCGTGAAGTCTCCACACGAGGAAACCGGCTGGTCAGGCGTCGTATTTTCGTGACACCGGCTTGGAGGCAAGCAGATCATGTGACGGGTGTAGAGGGGGGGAGCTGCCGGGTGCAGTGTCTGCCTCCTG